GTGGGGTGACTTTGGCCACCACTACAACAGAAACCATTGGCAGCAAAACAAAATTATAAACGTTGGCCAAAGTGCCTGGGGCGATTTTGGCCTCTGGGGTGACTTTGGCCAATGTTTATTATTAAGTTTTGCTTCCATTTGTTTCTGTTGTAGTGGTGGGCAAAGTCACCCCACTTAATGTTATTCTAATTAAAATATTTGATTTCAATCTTCAAATATGTGAATTTATAACTAGAAACAAAACAAATACAATTATAAAACTATACTGTACGTGTACCTATAGAAAATAATTAAATGCAGTGAAAGGAACTAAAATATTTGAATTGTGCACATGTTTATTTCAAACAGTGTTAGCTTTTCTCATAACACAAGTCTCCTTTCAAGTCATTTGAGGTTTGTTTGGTTGTCGTTCAGTTTGTTTAGTATTGGACTATTGGTTAATTGGTCTGAATCAAATGAGAACAGTGCAGTCAGTTGCTCAGTCACTAGGTACTAGTCGGTGTGTTTAGAGGGTAGTCTGGTAGATTTATAGGACATAAAACTAGTTGATCTATTGATAGTGTTCTGCACTGTGCTACCAGCTACCTATCTGTTATGTGACTTTTCAATGTTTAGAAGATCTGCATTCCTGAAGTATTGTTGTATATTGAAGCCAGTTAAATGGTCAATATTTAGCTCATTACCTTGCTCCAGTCCATACAAACTTTTCAAAGCTAATGAATAGACATATCAATAATTGTTTATCCAAAAGTCCCAAAGTGGTAAGCTGGCCATTCTTGAAGGCAGTAAGTGCCCTTTTTAGCCATCCATATACTGTTATTGTTAGTAGGCTAATTGCAACATAAAAGATAATATTTCAAAAAGACCAAAAAGCTGAAAAAATAAACAAATTATAAAAAATGCTTGATTTTTTATTTTTTTATTGTTTAAAAAAAAATAAAAAAATCACCAGCCCTGGCTTACATGTAATTTTGGCATGAAGTATAAAGGTTTAGGTAGTTCTGTACTTGGGCAGCAATTTTTAAAAAATACTTGAAACGATTAAAGCCTAAAAAGATGATTTAATGACACAATCACAAAACTGCTGGGTGTCAATATGCCAAGTACACACAACTTGCTTCTGAGTACCTACATTACATTCATTTTACCTCTTATCAATCAAATCTAAATAATACTGGTCAGTGGTCACTGGTTGGCATCATGATTTGCATGGTTTTATTTCCACTTTCACTTAATAACTGCAAATATGCTATGCTTTTCCTCCAGACAGTGAAGTAAGGCTCAACTTATGGTCCTAGGCTGTATAGGCCTGGGACCATTGAGCCTTTTAGCTCAAGATATCAGCATATTTTCAAGCTCTCCATCAACCATCTTTATCTTTAATTTGGGTAAATGGCTGATCACAAAATATGAATTGATTAACACACAGCACCATCAGCATGTTTATTTCCTATTTTTTTTTTTATTGCTTTTATGCCACCCACAACAATTGTGATGAGTGTATGTCTGCCAATCATCCCATATCAGCTAAATTGATTGATTTACGTACACCTCTGTGCCAATCATATTCCAGATTGGCTTGAAAATAATACAATCTGTAATATCAGGCATACAATATTTGGTAAGGCATATAATATTCAATATTTGCTGGTAAGAAAGATGTTTCATGTGTGATTTTTAAAAGGTACAGGCAATACGTGTTTTTTCCTTGGAAATTTCTTTACTAAACTTTTAAAACGCATGGAACTAAAACAAAGCTTAATATAAAGGAAAAGCTGGAGAGGTGACGGAATTACCCACGATGTCGGAATATACCGCGTTTACCCTACTCGGAGCTGCGGAGCGTCAACGATGAGATCATGGAGGCTGTTCCACATGTTGGTGACTCGAAGCAAGAAGAAATGTTGTAGCATGGATGATGGATGTGTTCCAACGCTGTTTTTTTAGTTTATAGCCGTGGCCCTGGTGACTGGTATTGGTTCTTGTTTCAAATTCTAGTAATCCTTCTGGGACCTTGTATAAGTCATGAGTATACTTGTATATTTCAATGAGGTCCCCATGCAGACAAAATAACTGAGGCTTGGAAGCTTCATAATCTTTAATCTTTCCTCATAGGACTTGCCTTTCAAGCCCGGAACTATTCTTGTTGCGTGTCTTTGAACACTCTCTACTAAATTTCTGTCCTTTTTAAATTTTGGTGACCATACGACGTTTCCAAACTCTAGGTTCGGGCGCACAATAGCAACAAACCCATGGTCAGGAAGATGTGCCAGGTGCGCGGGAATTTATTTTGTCATTTTAACGACCTGCATGGTGCACTGTACTACGTTGGTAAAAAAATGCGCCGTGCGCCGTACTTTAGAAAGCTAAAATAGTTCTACTATTTTAGTTGACAATATACGCGAGTATATTGCTGTCTCTTATACACATCTAGATGTGTATAAGAGACAGGTNAAAGATGTTTCATGTGTGATTTTCAAAAGGTACCTACAGGCAATACGTGTTTTTTCCTTGGAAATTTCTTTACTAAACTTTTACTTGATAAATTAGTCAATGGCCATAGAAACAGGTGAACTAGAGTGCCAGTACAATCATTTTGTCTCATTCATGGCTTGACTGGCCCTTCAAGATACTAAATTACTATTAGAATACACTGCAATAAAAGATTCTTACATAATTACACAAAAACCTATTCATATGTATCTGGTACTTTTTACCATTCTCGTAGCTTTACTGAAATTTTTTATTCAAGGGATATATTTAAACCATGAATTTGAGTAACATCTCAATTAAGTCAAAAATATTTCTCTTTTCATTGCCTTCATTTAACTTTCAGCTCAATCATAAAATCTTAATGTTCCTAAATCCTTTTACTGAACTGTATCTGTCCTAGCTGCTCCCACAAACAATGTGTGCACAACAGTTGCCATCTCTTCTGTTGTCGATTTCAAGCAACTGCTTGATCTTTTTTAGCGGAGCCATCATTGTCAGGAAGATTTGTCAGGTGTGTGGGAATTTGTATTATTTCTATCTATGCCAGAATGTGTAGAGACAAAATATGCTGTGCACTGAAAAGAGTTAGAACACATGTGCAGGCTGTGTGATTACACACCAATGTATCGTGTTGTGGGATGATGCACGCACATGTATTAGTGACAGTATGTATGTACATTCATTATCTGCTGCTGCCAACAGTGGCCTAATGTCCTCTCACTGCAAGTCTATGAATGTATGTGCAGTAGTACCATCAAATGGGTAATAAGGAACGGATAGGGTAAATTGGGACAGTCATCCCACTTTTCCTAGAAATCTTTTAGCAGCTAAACTAATCAAAATATTGCAAAACTAAAAATAGTCCCTTAAAGTTCGACATTTTTACTATCTATGTAGCATATAACAAGTTAAGAAATAATACATTTACTACCTTTTAAAAATCCCAAAAAAAAGTGTAGACAGTGAGATTTTGGAAAAGTACCTCTGCTAAGGACTGTAGCAAAAAAATTTTTTGCCATATTGAAAAATTTTACTTACATAAAAGTTGCACGTAGGTTTTGGCTTAAAAACATTATTGGGAAATTTGCATATCATTCCAAAAATAATTGTGGCCATTTTCATTAGACAGGGTAATAAGGGACACCCCTAAATCCGCATTTACAGTGGAACCTCAATTAGCCAAGGCTCCAATTGACCAAAAAATCAATTAGCAACAAAAAATTTTGATAACATTTACCTCGCTCTGGGAAGAAAATTGCACTTGAAGAAAAATTAATTTGCATCATCAGTCACACTAAATTGTGCTTAGAATGTCATGGAAAGAATTGTGCACCGGGCAACATAGAATGAAAATTAATAAACCTAAACTACAATCGATTTCTCCAAAAGATGTCACTACAATTTTTCTTTGTTTCAGGTACCTATGTTTTTATTATATATTTTTTTGTTCATTTTGCATCTGGCACCTTACGAATACCATATGGAATTTTTTTGGAGATGCCATATGATATAGATCTTGCAATGAGCTTTGAAGTGAGCCAAAACTTGTTAATGAAATGTTTAATGGTAAGAAGTTGTTAATGAAAAACGCTCAAAACCATCCCTTATTACCCTGTTTGACAGTACATATGTTGAATGCCTGCTGCTGTCAACATTGGTGGCAGCTGCAGCTGAACAATGACATGATTGTATCCTTGTGCCTTGTAGCCATGCTCATATGCATGTTTGGGAGTGTTGCTGTTTTTAATGCCGCCTGTTCTATGCAACCAACTGCACCAATTTACCAAATTGGGAAAGTCCTGCACATTCGAGCAGTCCTTTTGTTTCAGGAAGCTCACTTGGCATAGTATAATTGCCCAAAATCTCTGTATTCCTCAGCGTGGTAGCAGAGTTAAACTTCTGAAATATGACTTAAAAAAACAAATTAATTATTTCCATCAAAATTTTGCTATCAAAATATTTGAAACATAAAAAAATTTATGCATATTTTTTTAATATTGCAGTACGTATACATATATCAACTGTTCAATTTGAAGCTAATAGGAGCTCCATGGTTTTCTAATAGGTTATACTAGCCTTCCTTTACATTTATCTCTAGTCATAATGAAAAAATATTAACTTTTGTTTATCATGATGGATTCATTGAATATTTAAAAAAGTCACAAAATTGTTTCTCTGAAAAATTTTCCAGTGAGCAAATTATTCTAAAAATCTACTTAGACAAAAGCTTTTTGAGAAATCGCCATACTGGTAACAGGATGAGAAAGTCGGTGCTTTCTTGGTTGCTATTAGATTGATGATTATGACTGAGGGTGCAGATCATTCAAATAAATATGCTGCATGTGATTATGTAGGTGACATCTCAAATGTCATTTATCGGTGCTCTTACAAAAAGTATACATCTGTTAGCATTAAATCTCTCGTTTACTAGAGAAACTTTTTAATCTAGTTCAGGTTAAATATTCAGGTATGAAGGGAAATTTTGTAAATGATATGCAAGGCTAAACTAAAAATCCATTGAAATGATTTGTTTCAGCTACTTATCTTCTAAAATCAACTGCTGAATTTTCACATTTAATTCTCTTTTAGATCAATTAGTGGAGAAAATAAAATTTAATCATCATGGACTCGAAATTAGACATGGCTCTTGATGACATAATAAGCAAGAAAAAGGGTGAATCCCGTGGAGGAGGTTCAGGCAGGCGTGGATCACGTGGTGGAGGAGGAGGAGCACGTGGGCGTGGTGGACGAGGTGGTAATTTTTCCCGACCTGCCCCATACAACACTGGACCTCGGCAGCCTCAGGCAAGTCTCAACTAATGCATTTTTTATTCCTGTACCAGTTTAAAAGGGAAGTTTTACATACTTTCTATTACTGGCAAAAACAGATAATAATGATGCACAAACTTAATGTAACAATAAAGAAGTAGTTGAGAAAAATGTTCTGTTTTTCTCAAACTTGTTGTACTGTTAAAACATTGCTGTAAGAAAGGTACCTAGTTGGAGGAAATTTTTCCATCCTGCTTAATATTAGATCACTGTCAGAAATTATTTGTTCAAATTCATTTCCTCTTATTATGTATATTCCCATAATGCAGTTTAATTAAATCATTGGTCATGTTTACAGAGCTCCATGGGCAATGGGCGTTGGACGCACGACATGTTCAGAGGGGGAGACAGTGGGCTGCTGCCACCCCCACCCCTCATGGGGATGGGAACCTTCAAGCTTAATATCAACAACCTAGACTTTGGAGTCACTGATTCAGACATCAGGGTAGGAGTGCTTTCTTTGATTTCATTTGAGACCTCCCTTGCCAAAGGAGAATTTCTCTGTATTTAATTAACTTATATTATATTTTTTAGTCAATTTTACTGCGAATTTTATTTTCTAAGTATTTTGATTAATGAAGTTCCCTAATTTACTATTTAAAATTCTGAAGCAGTATGAAAAATTGAATTGCTTAAGTCGATATAAATGCATCATATTCTCACTAATTCTTAACCATATGTCAACTTATCATTGGACTTGGAAAACTGTCTAAATCAACTTGCCAATTTCTTTTAGTTGGACAACAGTTCTAAGTCGAGTTGAAGTCTGCCTTCATAAACAAATCTTCTTGAATATGAAGTATCACGTTGGTAGTGTCGAATCAAATTTAAATCTGACTCTGAAATAATGAGCTGCCCTTCAGGAGCTGTTCCAAGAGTTTGGAGACATGCAGTCTGCGGCTGTGCACTACGATCGCTCGGGCAGGTCACTAGGCAGCGCCCAGGTTATCTTTGGGCGTCAAAGTGACGCGGTGAAGGCAATGAAGCAGTACAACGGCGTGCACCTTGATGGCCGCCCCATGAAGATATACATTGAAGGCCTCGGCCTCGACTCATCTTTTGCCTCCCGCGGAGGTGGTGTGTCAAGACCGATGTCGAATCGCCTCGATCAGCGAAGCAGAGGCTCAAGACCAGGTGAGATTTGCGGCTAATTTTGTTCAACCTCTTCAAAGGAATGAATTGAGATCAGAAAAAATTCATTCCCTTTCTTTACTCAGTCCTCATCATTCCAGGTATCCCAAACAGTTGATAACTATACCCTGCTGCAAAACTCTTGGACTCTGTTTGTTTATATTTACTCCGCGTTCTAGCAGCCTTCTGACCAATTTTCCATCTCTACTTTTGAAACATTTGAACCGGAACATTACTTGTTCCAAATCATAATTGTAGCCACACCCCGTTCGTTCGTTCTTTTACTTCCGATCAGTTTAAAAGTTTCCATTTATGGATAACTAATGATTAATCGCTGAATTCTGGACGATTCTAGATAAATGTTTCATTTTCAAATGAATAATGCAACGATTTAAATAATTTGATGAATGTTACATTGCAGGTGGACGAGGCCGTGGAGGTCGGGGGCGGCAGCCTGAGAAAGCAAAACTCAAGACCGCTGAGGAGCTCGACGCTGAGTTGGACAGCTACTTGTGCGAAGCCAAGAAGGCCAAATAGCCTGCCTACAATTTGAGATGCGCTCCTGTAGTACCTAAGACATTTTACAATCATTATTCCTGAACATCATCTTGATGGAATGATTCACAAAACCTAGACGTTTTAGAAACTCTCCATCGTTGAAGTGGTGAGCTGATTAAATTGAGCCTTTTATGAGTTGAGGATGGAGAGAAAAACAAATTGTTCAATCTGGGAATTATGGTCTTTGGGGTACAAAATTTCATTTTATCGAACATAAGCTTGAAAAAATATGCTTAATGTTCAAAAACTTTTGCAGATTATATAAATCATGCTGTGTAATTCACTTTACGTAGTTCCATTTTCATTGTAGCTGGATCCATTACATGTTTGCAAGTCTTTCGTAATGAGCCTTTGAATGATATAACCTTTACAAATATTTCAACTCTGTCAGACTGGGTTTGTAGAGGGCTTCGATCTGCAGTGAACGATCTCGTTTGTAGGATTAAGTCGCTTGCGATTTAACCGGTATGCTCTTCATTTAGTATCGCATTGAATCTAGTCCTCATATTGTCGCGACGCCGGTTTAATTATTATTTCAACTACTTAGTTGCGTTCTAAATAATTTTCAGGAAATCGTGTAAACATTAAAAGCTTCTTGCACCCACGAGTTCAGTTGGCCGATCCTGCCTCGTTTAGTTTTAGTTTAGTGGCCAAATGTTTACTAGCGCTTCAGCTATTTAGCTATCTCGCACCGAAAGTCAAGATGAACATCACCATAGAGGTGGAAGGTCTCAATTATTCTTCACCCACAAGGGGCGGAAAATCTCAGATGTCCAGCTCGCTGAAGCTGGCTCTAAAGAAGCAGCGTTAGCATCTCAAAGAGACGAAGTGACAAGGAGGGACAGGTGACAAGCAACAGAAAAGAAGACACTCGAACAAGAGGTCGCTTACACGGGACGTCGGCCGCCCGCACGAGAGAGACAGAGAAGGGAAATGTAAGGAATCCTGCCTACATAATAACTTAACCCCACAACTGAGACCTACAGTCAGACACCGCGAGCTCAACGGCGGGGCGCTCATGAACAATCCCCCTAGGAACGCGAGATCCTGCCTCGTTAAATGGATCCTTCTATACCTCACGTATAAGCTCGTCCCGTCATGCGTTTGAGTGCAAAAGCAAGATGCAGCTTTGGTCGTTATTCCGCGATATTGAGAGCAGAGTGAATGAAATAGCGCTATATACTCAATATCGAAAATATTGTTTTTTTTCATTTAAAATCCAGGCGAGCGAAGTGCACAGATTAAAAAAAATTGTTTACTGAAGTTGCACAAGATTATGTATATGAATGAGTTCAACTTCATCAGGAATAAGTTTTGACGACTTCAAAATATTTGAGTGTGTCGGAAGCATTAACATTGGAAATTGGTCATAATTCTCAACTTTCGCGTGGCGACTTGAAACCGAGTCCAAATCAACTTCATATAACAATGTCCATTAAATACAGTAACTTGGCAAGTAGAGCCTTGCAACAAGCAGCTGCAGGCCCGGTTTGACTTTAAATAAATTACTCGGTTGCTCAAGACTCGAGACGCGGAGGAATGTTGAAAGACGAAACATTGTACGGTGCTCCGCATGGCGCGACTCTGTCAGGGCTTTAATCGCCGTTCAATGTCATTGAATCCGGTCTATAACTTCTTCAGGAATTTGTCATTCTGGCTTAAATGCGTAATGTGTCAAGCTAGTTCCACTCTCATTGCCTTGTTCCGCTTCCCATCGTATTTCGCACATACGTCACGACAATGAATGAGGTGACGGCTTATCAAGTTCTCGTAATTTTAGCTGGTCAAGTTCTCGCTCGAACTTAGCCCACAACATGGGAAGACGTAAATTATTGACACGGGTTTAATAAGAGTCAAAAAAAACTCCAATACATCATGTCACATTTAACTGGTGTAATTCTTTCGGTAAGAAATTCGCTATTTGTTATCAATTTTCCACAAATTATTACCTCAAATTTGAAAGGATAAAAATAGTAGGAATCGTCCACCAATTATTACTGTATTATTATTAACGTTTAAGACAGTCGAAGCAATGGTCTTTGGCTATGATGCTCAAGTAACCGCTCTACGTCCGCAGCAAAAATTCTCATCGCATTACCGCAATGTACATTGAAATAAATAAAACTTCAGTCGCTGAACTTGAGAATTCGTAATCAATGAACCGTTAAGTGAGGTGCTCGTATGAGGCAGCCAGATTACTAAACGCAGAGCAAGACGCACGAGACTAATCCTAGGAGTAAGATACATCGAAGCAGAACCCGGAGCTTCTTCAGGTACGCATTGCAATCTGAAAAGAAATAAAAACAAGGGATTTTTAGTAGGACTTTTAACATACACATACGTTTGAAAAATGCAATATGGAACATAAATTTCAGAAATAGAAACAATAGCATTAAGCAATGTCACAGCATATGCCCAAATATCAAGAAAATATTCAATGAAGCTGCGGAAGAGAGATTAGCGTCACTATCTATACTTGACAAGAGAGTGTGACGGTCCAGGGAGGGGCAGCGGCGCTTAGGGCCTCCTGGAGACGCCCTTCCTCCCCACACACTTCCGTCGGAGACACGAGTACAAAATCCAGGAGGCAGTGAACGAAAACTTTAGCTCAAGTCGGAAGGTCCGAAGTTGCCAGCACTTACGTGAAAGCTTCTCTGGAGCTCAATGCGCGAGCTCTTCGATAACTTAATACGTCACATAAGGACCACAATTCATGTCAATTAAGCTCTGACCATGATTTACATCTTATAGGAGATGTCGATTGAGGGACTTTTCGTCCACTTTAAATTCATTCATAAAGAATGATCTAATTTATCGGAGTAATTAGGTCAGTTTTCATTAATTAAAAAAATTAAACTCGGTAGAAGTCGTGTTATTATGGGTCATTGAGAAAACTCACGAGGTTAAAATTGAATTGCATCGACTTCCTTGACAGGAAGGGCACATTATCTCGTAGACGCTTTTAATTTGCGCCTTTTACCTTTTTACGGTAGAGGCTGGATAAAAAATAATGATCTCAAGATCATTAGTGAGGGAGTCATTACTGCCAACAGGAAATTGACTGCGTCTCGAGGAACACAGAACTTGGAACATCCGTTTGCAGGGAGTCCAAGCTCATGTGCGACGCTTCTACGCCGAGGTACAGCGCTCAAGTGGCCATTACCGTGGTCGTCCAAATTACCTCCTTTTCTTTACTTGGAGACTTGATTGGCATAAGCATCAAGTTCGGCATCGAGATCAGCCACAGTGGGCGTCTTAGTGGCGCCGCCACGGCCGCCGCGGCCACGACCTCTGCCTCTCATAGTGCCTCGTGCACCGCGCGTCGCTCCTTGGTAGGAGCCGCGTCCGGTGCCGCGGAAATTCCCACCACGGGATCCGCGCATTGCACCGCCGCCACCTGCACAACAAAAACATCACTTGAAAAATCAGCACTGAGGAAATTATTCGTGAAATCTCACGCCTTACAAATTCGACTTCTATTATTTTAATTTCACAAATTAACCAAGCTGGCATCTCAATATTGACGTTCCCATTCTGATGTGAATAACTCAAAATTTATTAAGTCAACGTCACAGAAAGTATATCCGCGGTTTACATCGAATAAAAATATATTATGAATTGCTTGAAGAGTTTCTTTGATAGGTTTAGATTAAACAAAGAATTAATTGCTCTGGAACTATGATCTAGGTACACGCCATGAAAACTCACCTCGTGGGGCACCACGACCAAGGCGCTTCACAGGTTTGCCAGCAAAATTAGAGGTGGCAGATGCGAGGGCAGAGGCGTTATAGATATCCTTCTGAGCATTTCTGTCATCGATTGTTATATTCATGGGGCGGCCGTCAAGGTGGACACCATTGTATTGCTTCATGGCTTTAAGGCCGTCACTGAAGCGAGAGAATACAACATGGGCTGTGCCGAGAGACCTTCCTGTGCGGTCATAGTGAATTGCGGCGCTGCGGATCACACCAAACTCTTGGAACAGCTCCTGTTTAAAAAAAATAATGTGCATTATTGTGAGAATGTAAAATAGGACAAGGATGACAATATTTCAACAATGAAATTCCTGTTTTGAAATCTTAAAGGTCTACATTAGATTTATTATCACACTTAATTACACGTAACAAATGCTTAATTCAAAGCCAACCAGGATTTAAAGTAAAATTTATTAATCTTGAATTAAATAGGTCTCAAAATTTACCCTAATATCCGAATCAGAAACGCCATATTCCAAATTGGTGATTGTGAGCTTTGCAGGAGCTGCAGTAGCTTGGAAAGCACCACCTGTCCTGATGCCTCCCTGAAAAGAAAAAAAAAGTTGTATCAAGATCAGGACATAGGTAAAATAGCTTGGGGCTATCACAATTGAAACTAGAAATTTCAGCATAGCTGGCTTCTAGTGGATTCAAACAACGAAGAAATTCTAGCAAATTATTATTATTTAAAATTTTAATGATACTAATATGGTACCGTAAAAAGGGGGTTACTTTGACCGGCGGGGTAACTTTGACCACTTTTCGTTTCTAACAAAAACCCCCAAAACTCATAAACGATTCGACATAGAAAAATTTTGTTAATGGCCATCAAAGGCCTAATACAATGTAACACAATAGAAAGATACGTAACACAATAGAAAAATTCAAAAAGTTTGCATATCTAATAGGTTAAAAAATTTTGTGACCCACAAAGAAGGGCTATTATTTAAAGCCTGTCGGAGTACCCCCTCCAATTTTTTTATTTTTTGGTAAAATAACTCCAGGTTTTGATGCATTGTAGTAGAACTCTCCTAGTTACATATGCAAAAGGCAAATTTTAGGAAAGTGTCATAGTTTGCAAATGGGGGGCACCGCCCCCCAATGGGGTTACTTTTGACCACCTAATGGCAGCCATGACAGGGTAACATTGATTGGCTTGGAAATTATGTTAAAATTACCATAAGTACCTATATAATATATTTTATGTTTGATACACCTATTAATGTTTTTTTCTTTATGTTTCAGACTCTAAAGTGTCATAGTTTGCAAATGGGGGGCACCGCCCCCCAATGGGGTTACTTTTGACCACCTAATGGCAGCCATGACAGGGTAACATTGATTGGCTTGGAAATTAAGTTAAAATTACCATAAGTACCTATATAATATATTTTATGTTTGATACACCTATTAATGTTTTTTTCTTTATGTTTCAGACTCTACAGTCTTATATATGGTAATTTTAACTTAATTTCCAAACCGGTCAATGTTACCCCATCACGGCTGCCATTAGATGGTCACATTTCGCCCATATGGGGGCAGCGCTCCCCATTTGCAAACTATGACACTTTCCTAAAATTTGTCTTTTGCATAAGTAACTAGAAGAGTTCTACTACAATGCACCACAACCTGGAGTTATTTGGAGTTATTTTACCAAAAAAAAAATTAATTTTACCACCCGGTCAAAGAAACCCCATGAGCTGGGGTAACAAAGACCATCACTTTTTTTGAAATTACATCAAAACTATGAGAGGCAGGAGCCAGCAATTTATGGTGAGTAAAGCTAGAGTATAGACCTGTGTTTTGCAGGTTTCAATTTAAGTTTAACTTATCTAGTAAAAAAATGGCATCATTTTGAAAAAAAAAAGTTGTCAAAATTACCCCCATTTTACGGTAACAAGATGATGTAAAATCAACATAGAAGTGAAACAAGGAAGAGATTCAAATAACCATGTTTGGAAACCATTAATTTTAATTTACTAATTCAGACCATTTCCAATTTTTACTGTGGAAGCGATAATACTGTGATTAATTTGAATAATGATGTCACTTCTGAAAAATGATGTCACTAGCACCTTGAAAAATAATGTTGCACCTTGAAAAATAATGTTGCACCTTGAAAAATAATGTTGCACCTTGAAAAATAATGTTGTGCCTTGAAAAATACCATTGCACCTTGACAAATAATGTTGAGCCTTGATAAATAATGTCATACCCTGAAAAAGAATGAATCGTCCCACACTCAAGATTATGTAGTTTTTCGGGGAATTTTCCCACCCATAACGAGTTTTTCCAACCAATGGTTGGTGCTGCTTGTGCAACGTAATCTAAATATTTTCTCTTTGCACAGGTGTTGGCGCAAATTCCGGTCATCCATTACACCTCACGCAGTACTTGGGAGTAGTCAGCACAAATACAGTTTGCCAAGGAACAGACAAAAAACTCAAAATATTCAATATCTGTTCAATTATCCTTCAATGATATACGATTTTCCTTGATATGGAAATTTTGTAAAAGTGAAAATATAGAAATTTATTTTAGAAGAAATTTTCTATGCATTGCTTGTGGCAACATTGTTGGTTTACCTTCCGTATCTAGGTAATCAAATATTCCATCCAGTTGTGAGGCAAGTGATGAAGAATCAAGTCCTCAGAAATTGGGCAATTGAAGAAATCAAATATTAGTGTAAATGACAGATTTAGCTTGTTCTGTATATACTAATAATGAGGGGGGTTATTTATGGTTCTACAGTTAATGAACAAAGTCAGAAATAATTTCATTTTAATTAATGGAAAAAGTTTTTGAGTGCCAAATATTTTGTAAATAAAATATGTTTAGACATAGCTGTCCTCAGTCTCTCAGAAATTCCTAACAGAATGGTATGGCAACATTCTCATGTGTCATGTGATGTGTCTCCTTGAAGCCATTCATATTTTATTAATGTTTGCTGTTCATCTATATAATTATCTTTCAAAGTTGCAAAAAATGAGAACTGATAATTAAATAATTGTGCCGACTCTTAGCACCTTGGTTAACACGTTAGAAATGTAGTCAACACTATGCAGATATACATTCATGTGTAATGGCGTTGCGGCGCATGCATCTTCAAATAACTTTCAGAACACAGTGCATTTTCTACAGGCATATTACAGCACACACCCCAGATCAGTGACAAACCATGGATTTTTTGAACCAGTTCATTTTTAATTTTCTCATTTACTCACGATTCAAGTCAATTTCTTATGTAGCTTATAATAATGCAGGTATCCAAGATACTTTACTGGTCTACATATGACTCAAAAATGAACTTGAGGGAGGCTGGGACTGGGAGAGTCTAAAAACTCTCTTGCTTTGCCACTATGCCACAGATTGATAAAATGCAATATAAATTCTGGTAATACTTTAGATTAAGTGCATCCAAAAAAAGGGTGTTTTTTTCTTCAATTGTATGTTTTTTGGGGTGTAGATTAAGAATCTGAAATCCATTTTTGGCAGTCGGCATTGGAAATTTTTAATCGAACCTGTTCCGAACTGGACCTAACCTGCGAGGTTTTCGATGATTGGCTAGGTTTTTCCGGCCGCCGGACAGACTCCAAACAGAGAAAAAACCTATTGGCTAGGTTTTTCCGGCCACCGGACGGACTCCAAACAGAAAAAACCTAACCGTTCAACAAAAACCTTGCAGGTTAGGTCCAGTTTGGAACAGGTTCCATTAAAAATTTCCGATGCCAACCTCCAAAAACGGATTTCAGATTCTTAATCTACACCCCAAAAAACATATTTAAGAAAAAAACACCCTTTTTTTGGATGCACTTAATCTAAAGTAATACCTAAGTTCCTGTGCATCTGGGAGACCTTCCATACCATAGGTCACATCCTGAAAATTAAAATCATTTCCAAAAAACGAATTCATGTACACAAAAATAAGGCAAAATTGGATGACATCCTACAAAAAAGCCTTGCAAAATAGTAATGTATGGCAGTGAATTGGCACTGGCAGAATGGAATGGCCCGCACAACCTTATCTTGAAAATACATTGTCTAAGTCATGTTAGCCTAGGGTAAACGCGGTATATTCCGACACATTAAGGACGCATCAAGAAATGAAAAACTATAAAAAAACGTATGCATTACGTAAGTTCTGTTGGCTTCGCATGACTCTCAAAACAACGCACTACGCGTCAGCAACGATGAAACATCACAAAATGTTGCCATATTTATTAAAAAGCCTTTAGAATGGAAACCTACCAAATCCCTATATTCCATCACTGTGTGTGGCAATATTTGACACGTGGTCTAGTCTGGAAAAGTCCTATTTAGTGGCATGCATTGTCTCTCTTTGGATCTCAATATTTTCCCACTAGATGGCCAAGACCTAGTGTTTTGGCAGTATTTTGACGCGCAAATGCATGACCGTATGACATCACCATTTAAACCATCAACAAACGCATGGAACTAGGTAGGCTACAACAAAGCTTAATATAAAGGAAAAGCTGGAGAGGTGACGGAATTACCCACGATGTCGGAATATACCGCGTTTACCCTATCATCTTAAAAAAAACTTCAAGAAAAATAACTTCACATTTCAGAATCATTGCAATGATTGCAATCAGATTCATCATTGCTGAGATCCTGAGAAAAAGGAATTAATATCTCCTATTCCTAGCTAACTTACAGTAGCTAGGCTAGCTGAGAAGTTGACTTTAGTTGAGGACAAATCTACCTACAGGCACAGCCTCACACAGGGGCCTGTCCTCGCCAAGGATACAAATTTGCCCATAAACTATTTTGAATATATTTTCACTAAATTTTCTATTCAAAAAAGCCTAAATTCATCTGCCCAAACGGAAAGTTGCAAAAAAAAATTCTAGTCTTATAGCTACTTAAGAAAGCTGAAGGCCTGAAGCAGCTAGACTGATCTAGTTCCTACTGGCAGTACTGCTCACTGCCCAGCATGCCAGCAGTTCAGAATTCATGCACCAAATCTAGTGATTAGTACTTACCCTGAATCCTACGGAAGCTCCATTGCTTATTCCCCTCATTCCTCTGAAACCACCACGGCCACGTAACATATTTCCACGGAATGATCCCTGCATATTGCCACGGGCACGGAATGATCCTCCGCCTCGTTGACCAACGCCACGAACACCACGGAAATTTCCTCTGCCTTGGCCTCCTCTTGCAACTCCACGTGAATTACCACGGGCTCCACGACCCCTTCCACGGTTCATGCCTTTCTTAGATTTAATTATATCATCGAGCGCCATATCAACTTTAGCAGCAGCCATTATTGTGAATTTTCTTCAAATAGCACGACCAACACAACTACGACCGACTGCACGACACAAGATGGCGGGTCAGCAAAGGACGCTACGTGTTGCCGACACAAAGCTTGTAGAAGTGTTCTCTATTCACAACTCACAATTCAAAAATGTCTAAATAAAGATTGCATATAAATAAAAATCAATATTTACACTATATTAGGCAAGTTGTTTGATATATCGTAAATGAAATTATACATTATTTCAGACATATTTTACTGTCTACGTAGATAAAATTCACGTTGTAAATAATGTAATTCCCGGTAAATTTGTAATGCTTCTTCAATAAATGAGTTAGTAATTCCTGGTATAATTTGTAATGCTTCTTCAATAAATGAGTTAGAAGCTTACGCAATTTCGTAGGACTGTTCCGTTGTGTAGGCTAAATTTGTAATATTTATGATATTTGAGTGATTTCGAATATATTTTCTTTGGAATATATTCAATCTTAATTGTTTGGGGCAGAGTTAGACAAATAAATGTATCTTGCCCTTGTTTTAAGCAGTTTAACAGTTTTATCACAGTAAAAATCATAGTTTTGCTATATTGTCACTTCTATTTACTATGATTTCAATTCAAATTGACGACAGCTATATTTTTACGACAGATATATTTGGAGTTACATTGGCGCCGATCTACCAAAATATATTTACGTTGTCATGGCAACGACCAAGCTTATCGTTCATATACGTCTCTACAGCAAATCCTACAAGTCGCTAAACAGCAATGCAGTGCGTGTTTACAAGTAGGAGAACGATAAACTCTATTAATCTGTCATCTGTCTGTTTGACAAAGTTTAATCTTTGTATTGTAATTCGCGAGAAGTCCTTCAAGAAAACAAGCCGTTAGTATTTGTTGTACAAATTTACGCTTGGCTAATAATTTTCGGTTTAAACATTATCCTGGCAAGCTCAACGACTACTCTAAACTCATCTAAATTTTAAGTAAATATATAAAAATATATTTTAAATTTTGGGCAATGGCATTCATTTTTTCTGTTTTATAGAACACATATATACTATGAAATGAGTAATCACTTAGCACAGTCCCTATTACCAAATCAAATTGGATAAATATGCTTATCAGACAACCGATCCGATACTTGCTTCGAAAGTTGAATAGGTGATTCATCACAGTCAAACGTATAGATAAAAACAATTTTTTTTATTACAACACTTCTCTTTAACTTCACTTCTTGTTTGTCTGTTTGCCTGTCTACTACAAATCTTGTAATCGAAATTTAATACACTTCTACTTATCCCATCGATCTGAAATTTTGCACACTTACGTAAAGTTGGAGACAGTGCATGAATCAAATGATAAAATAAATAATTTTTGGAACATAATATATATATTTTTTCAATATTAAAAAACTGAAAAATAACGTTGTCAGCTACAAATCTTATAATTGATATTTGACACACTTTTACCTGTCCAATTGATCTGAAATTATGAACACTTGTGTGAAGTTGGAGGCAATGCATGAATCAATTGACAGAATAAACAATTTTGAAAAATTTTTATATATTAAAAAAATTGAAAAATTACTTTTTTAAATATTCGAAAATAAAATTAGAAATTCATTGTACATCAGTAACATTGCAAACACTGGATTCTTTAGAAGTGTACGTTGTCCATAAAAAGTAATTTTTAAACGTATATTTTATAGTTGAATTTTCAATAGTTCGTATATAACCTCACAAGAGAATCACCAAAAAAGTAATCACTAACAATTATTATCATTATTATTATTATTATTATTATTATTATTATTATTATTATGCTTTATCAATTTATAGATAGGTCATTACTAATACATATAATAACTACTTTACAGTGTATGAGAAAGCCGCAAAACTAAGCAAGTTATTAGTTTTGTACCACTAATCAGGAATATATATATTTGTTTCCTGATGTCAGTAGAATGTGTAACAGTTTTCTCTCGCAGAAAAATATCTGGGACAAAGACCAGGATGGTGGGGCCCGCTCCAGGCAGAGGCGGCCATGAGGCTCGTAACTTGCAGCCTTCTTCAGCTGAGACGCCCGCGGTCAAAGAGTGAGGGATACGTGGACCTTATTTAATCTTATTTCCGTAGATTTTTCTGTCTATTTTAGTCAATATGTTCTTTGTTTACTTTAGTATAAATATAGACAAAAATAGATTTACATAGTTACATAAATAATATTGGCTGTATACAAAAATTACCGCTAAGCGCAATATTCACGTTTACAATCGTGCATTTTCCGCTTATCAAAATCTACATAATAATATAACCGAATTGCGAAAGTCTTTCTAATGTCATAGGTTTCTCTGGAATATGAAAGAATCTAGAAAAAATGTTAATTTTCAAATAATTGCAGGAAATCTGCAACCGAGAGAGTTTGGGACCATTTACGCTATGCTAGCTGCCCTGCGCACCAGTTGCAAACTTCAGCGAACCATCTGCACCCGACTATACACCATCTGCACCATCACTCACAAACTTCGCAACTCACTTCTGGACCACCGTGCACCATTCAATCTTTAGGTAAATATTTTAATGAACAAAAAATCTCATCCATTGACATTAATGAATCGTTTACCACTGGGCGTAAATGATACTTGGGTCTTTGGGTAATTTTATGGAGAACTAAATTCAGCGACACTGGGAAAATGCAAATCCTCCAAATTGTATCCAGCTGCGTCACTTGGTTTTAAGGACAGTGGAAGGGAAAGCTCCTCTATTCTGTCAACAGGGAGGGGGCTAATGTCCTTATTTATGTGTATGATCTTATTTAAAATTATTTGTGGGGCTTAATAATATTTTAAAGAGCTGAAGCCAACCTAAGATAGGCCTACTGACGACACTGTTTGTATCTTAGTTTCAACGTGGATTGAATTTGAGCAGTCGGATCTATATTAATGTAATAAAAACACGTATAAATTCTAAATAACTGCAATAAAACTATTCGACAGACACAAGCGCCGTGACGACGTCTGGTGAGTACGGCAGGTTCCCGCGCGGCAGCGAGGCCGTCGGTAGGGCCCCTGTGTACCGCCCCCTGCAGCACGTCCTGGACCGGTCGTACGCAGGGCAGCGATACAGGAACCATTCCTTCAACTTGTAACCTCAGCGAGGAATAGGTGGAATAGGAGAGGAATGGGTGGATGAGGCGAGGAATGGGTGGATGAGGCGAGGAATGGGTGGATGAGGCGAGGAATAGGTGGATGAGGCGAGGAATGGGTGGATGAGGCGAGGAATGGGTGGATGAGGCGAGGAATAGGTGGATGAGGCGAGGAATAGGTGGATGAGGCGAGGAATGGGTGGATGAGGCGAGGAATAGGTGGATGAGGCGAGGAATAGGTGGATGAGGCGAGGAATAGGTGGATGAGGCGAGGAATAGGTGGACGAGGCGAGGAATAGGTGGATGAGGCGAGGAATAGGTGGATGAGGCGAGGAATTGGTGGATGAAGCTTGTAATAGGTTAATAGATGTTGGAAAAGGCGGGTGCGGTTTAGAATACGTAGATGAGTATACAAAAAAGTGAATGAGGTTTGGAATAGATGGATGAGTCGTGGAATAGGTAAATGCGTTTGCGAATAGGTGGAAGAGTCTTGTAATAGGCGGGTGAGTTTTGGAATGGATGAATGAGTCTTGTAATTGGTGGATGAGAAATGGAATAGATTGATGAATCTTGGAATGGATGGATTAGTCCTGTAATAGGTGGATGAATCATGGAATAGGTAGATAATTCTTGGAGATAGGTCTTGGAATGAGTCTTAGATAAGGTCTTGGAATTAGTCTTGGAATAGTTCTGTAAGTCTAGGAATATGTTGATAAGAGCTTCTATATGATGCGAGGAATCTGTGAATCCTAGTCGTACTGCACAATTTTCAAACATTACATCGTAGCGAGTACAGCTGTTTAAAATGTACATATGCAGTCCGACAAGGTTTAAGACACGCGATCAAAAACTGTGAGTAAAGCGAACAGTGCTCGTAGTCACAAATTTTAAAATAGTTCATTTTGCGACCCATAATTTAAAGGAATTTTCTTGACGTATATCAAAATATGATAGGATGGGGCTTTGACATCAGGATTAAGCAAAAACCCCTTCTAATTTTGCAATTCACATGAAAGAGTGTATTGTGAGAGAGTATGGGATCGTTGGTCATTTAGTAATCTTGTCTAATCCTCATACATTTTTCGGACTAACATCCAACTATGGCGCATGCGCCGGCATGATGTATCGTTGGATGCAGGGGCACAAGGAGAGAAGTTTAATTGCTATTTAAAACCGAGGAGAAAATCGTTAAGAAAAACATCCTTGCATGTAGAAATTTGTAAGTGAATTCCAGCATTTCTAGAATCGACAGTTGGGGTTTCGGAAAAATGGATTACTAAACGCATATTCCTCCAATAAAACTTGATTAATTTCAGTAATATCGTGCTAAATTGACAATCGGTTTCTTTATTTCCCTGTTTGAAGTGAAACTATTCGGTTATTTGCATTTATTACGTGTTTATTACCACCTGGTAGATTTGTTTACAAAACTTCTGTTTGACAATATAAATGAAGACGAATACATTTCATTTTGTCTGTGGTCACGGCAGATTTTTTGCAAATTTCTACAAGGGACGTAAAGTTTTATCTGCTGGTAACAAAGTCGAAAGTTGGAAGGTAAAGTGAGAAAAAAAGACGTCATCATGAACATTCTCCTTGTACGTTTCATTACCAGAAAATACTTACGCAAAACGCCTCGTGAAATTTTAAGAAACATTTTTGCCTTGGACTTTAGCCGGCTTTTCCACATTACACTGAAGATACAAAGTAATATTTGCGGTATCAGTTTGGATACCTAGAGCCTTTTTGTGTTCATCTCCCACTAGAAAACCGTTGTAATTTGACCCGCATGCGCTTTCAGTAATGTTCAACGGAATACATTCACGATCATGGAGATTATGAGAATAGCTGTAGCGAAGATCCATTTGCAACTTCTCAAGGGGCTAATTCAGTAATTGCAATTAAATCGATGAATTAGGTCATTAATATTAATATAACTGCACTCACGTCCTGATGCCCGGATGTTTTATAGGGGCTGAGTGGCATAACTCGGCACACTCACGCGCCCAGAATGCGACGCTACAACGAAGCTCTGTTCGACTTCTTGTTCTTGTGGCCCTGGCGGTCTCCTCCCTCTCCGCGCAGACCACACACCACCGCGTCGTCTCAGAAATTAATGGGACTTTGTCCTAATAACGATGCACGTATGCTCTTATTTTGATCATCTTGATCCAGTTGTGCTCAGGAAAAAGACCGTATCACTGTCACACGCAGCAAGTGGGTCAGAGCGCATTTTGGACAAAATGATCCATCGATTTTTCTGAGTGCTGAACGCTACCAACCAATCACCATACCAACCCCTAGACGCATTCATGCTAGCAGGCTTCGTGAAGGAACATACACTCAACGGGACTATGCTATTTATACAAGCCTTATTTCATCCGTGTATCTTTTATGTATGAATGAGCCCTTGATGGTTTAATTTCGATATTTCTAAGTACCCAAAATTTTATGTCCGTTAAACTAACCTCAAATAATTATAGCTGCCATCCGTATGCAAAAATTTGTACTCTTACATTTGCATAGATGAGCTTTTATTAATTTCCAGATTGTTGTCTTTTAAAAATTTCGCTGATCATTGCCATAGATTTCGTTAATCCAAAAATAGGCTCCACATCTCTCCCCGCTCTATACCAAGTTGGTTGCACTGGTTGGACAACAGTCGAAGTCGATACAAACACATTTCTAAGCTATACGAAAATCTTATAACAGGACAGATGGGCTCTAACAAATGAGTACCTTTTGAATACTTCCATACCGGACAGCAAGACGGGGAATTTTTAAGAATATATCATATCTTCGAAAAATATGTTCGCGATGACTGAAAATACAGTAATTCAATTATATTTCAGCGCAAAATTTAGAGACATATACTTTAAAGTTGACTATGACAATATCAGCAAACTGTTTCTTTTGTCTCTGCCTCGCAGTATTTTCCCTCGATATCTTGTCGACTTACAAACAGTTACAACCCGCGATTATACTGGGAAATTTCAACGCGGGATTGTTACATAGAACGTGACACACAGTCAACGTGACGAGGATTGATACATAGAACAGTTTCAAGATGTCTGCATACATGTGGGCCTCGGCCTTCCAACAGGATTGAGCTTTACATGGCTGTTAGTTTTATTGCTCACAAACTCAACAAGTGTATCCCATTGCGGTCAACGAGGACTCCAACGTCACTCATTGTAATTGTGTCAACACTGAGAACATCGCACAGCGTGCGCCGTACATGTTCTGTAAAAGCCAGCGCATGTTTGGTTGTGAAACAAAGGTATCATGATGGATAAGTGCGATGACACTGCCTTCTTTTTTTATTATTTGTAATGTTGCTCCCTCGATTGGTTGAGGAAAGCTCAGAATTAAGCTCACAATAAAAATATATGAGCTCTAGGATAGGGTATACGATTTAAAAACAGCATAAAATGCTTCAGCTAACAATAGTTTTGGTGCTGCAGCTGCCTGGCCTTCGCTGATTTTTTGAAAGCAGTTAGGTTGGGGGCAGTCAGTGTTTGCATAGGTACACAATTTCATCTTAATTATTTTGAATAAATTGATCAACTATAGACGACTAGAACAACCACATGAATTAATAACGTAAATGACGCTAATAATCCATTTCATATTAATTATTAGCAATAAATTACTCAAATCAAGACGACGAGGATAATCATGTGAACGACTTACTTTAATTAAATGAAATAGAATAAAAGTGTCGGCACTGAAGAAATAGGCCCATGGCCTGTTCTTGATTCAAACGGAGCGCTAAAAATTTTGGGCACAGCATAAAAAATGTTCTGAAGGCGTTATTGACTCTGCAAAAGCAAGCGAGGGCAGAGCGTGACGCTGGTATGCAGATCCGGGGTGTTGATGTCATCGACCGAAGCCCTGTGTCAGCCCTCACTCGTGTTGCCGAGCATTCAAGGACGTCTTCTTAAGGTAATCGACGAAAAGCCTGGACATTGTCGTGTAAACATTACTTGAGCCATAATAGGGAAGCAGACTCGTATTTTCAAGAGCCATGACTTCATAAGCTGTTGTCGATTAGATAGTTTATTCTCATGGCAGAGCCAATGGGCATCGCTTAGAGCTGAGGTCGACTTGCTTCAGAGGCCAGTGACAGAGGCTGAGTGTACAGGCGAGACGATGGCTCCGTCTGGTGGCTTATCTGAGGGTAGGTCTCTTATTGCTCCACTGTACTTGTTGGTCCTCTTATTGGTTGGCGACAGGGTGGCGCCTTGTCCTCTAATTGGTTCTCCTTTGCCAATAAAATTCGATTGGAAGCTAATTGCTTTCAATTAGGATGATAGATCACTCATATGAAGCGTTTCTGCGTCAGGCGGCTTAAATCATGGGAACTAGACAACGATAGTATGCAAGACAGAAGTCTTTTGAATGAAGTGCTGGCACCGTCCTTGCGTCGCAGCAATATTCGGTGCGCAACTTCGAGTGCACAAGGGCTCAAAGTATCCCGAGGTCCGTCATGTTGAGAACGTGGTAGCTCTGTTGGCCAGGAGGGTGGCAACATACTAGTGCGCCGCCAATGAAGTCCTTTCTTCATGATTTCAGCTCATTCGCTTTAATTAGGGCCTTTACAAACGACCATGTTTTCTTTGTGAAATATGTTGTAGTATAAACAACACTGAATACAGACAGAATTTAGCTTTACTACCTTTCACATGCGGAGGTGCCTGAACGCCGCGCTAACCGGACCAGCTGACACCTGCAACTTGTTGCTTCGTCCTTAGTCGCGAGAACCCAAGATGTCTTGACAACGGAAACTTATGAAATTTAAAGTTGAAGTTACTGAGTATTGATGATATTTGGAGAAATAATTTACTTTATTACGTTTTCATGATTGAAACATGCAAAAAAAAGTTTGTTGTTACATCTGCTTGGAATCTTGCGTCACGTTCTAGGGTCAACCTGAACGAGCATAAATGACACTCGGCGGATATCTGTTACCTACCACGTGTTGGAGTGCTAGTAAAGCTCATGTATTTATATTTAACTACCCATTCGAAAGTGAAATATTTATATTTAACTACACATTCGAAAGTGAAATGTGCTAAACCATATATTAAGGATGAAAAGGTGTAAGTTGATTTTTTAAAATAATTTGTGGAGTGTTTTTAATCAGATGTTAGGAAATGTTTATTTTGAATGCTAGGCAGTAGGTGGAAGCATAAAATATGCGGGTTGTGGTGGCAGTTGTGGTGAGTGTTTTAGCTGCAGCAACTGTGGCACAAGCACAACCGGAGGCGGCCGGCAACTCTGGTCACAGTTCGAATCAACTTCAAGCTCCCCCGGGCGGGTGAGTAGTCGAAATACAGATAACTTTGAACTGTTTCCAGGAACACAAATTATGATGCTTACTTGTATCGTCGAGATGAGTGTTGGACATGATAGGAATATAGACTGTTCCGATAATGTGTTCTGACATATACATATTTTATGTAGGCAATGAAGTTCAAACGCAATTATTTGTAGATCGTAGCAGCAGAATCATTTAATCTCAATATTTATTTGAGAAAAATATTAATACAGAGCAAATGCAAATTTGAAAACGAAGGGCGGAAAGTACGACAGTACAAGAGTATCTAGTTAGATAAAATCATTCCATGATATTGTACTGACAATTAAAACTGTAGCAGCTCAAACATGAATGACAATCATGAGTGGTACCAGGGCAACTATGACTGGAACTATCGCAAAATATCGATTGAACTCCTTGAGTTTTCGCACAGCAGAAATTTGACTAGAGTATCATAGATATTTTTAACATAATATGACAAAAAAACATCAGTGCCAGCTGAAGAAAGATTTGCAAATTTTTGCTACGATTTTTGCTACGATTTTTGCTACGATTGAGAGTTATAATCAGTTTGCAACTCTCATATGTTACGAGTACCTCAGGCTCAAAGTTTCATTTCTTGCTCGACTGAGTCGTCGACTGTTGTATAAATATGGCAGCTTACATTGAGTAGATAACAGAGGATCGTGTTTACCAAACTTAGTATATCGTGAATATAATCGTTTATATGGTAATACATGCACGAATACTTGTTTAGTTGGTATATCGTGTGTATGTTACATCTCGCATATCAGATGATAGACTCCGCATGCCACAGACCAATGTCGTATATATCGCATTTAAATGAATGAATTCCAACATAAGCATTGCAACACAGCATGCATGTTGATGAAAATATATGATGATATGGAGAGTATTTATATGGTGTACTCGTTAAAATATACGTCCTGTAAAGGCTTTTATGTGTATTGTGAAAATTAGTAGAATGCTTCCGACATCTGTCTCGCGTTCATTAAATTCAAGTGTAAAGCAATTTCATATGTTACCCTTTCTAGCGAATTGACAAATAGTAAATTCAGTATGAAAATATATATAAGGCCACTGCATTCCGTCGATGACTACAGAAAAATCACAATTGCATAGAAAATACTCGTATTAATGACAGTATAAGCTAACTAAACGTTTCGCTTGACGTTTACAGATGAGCAGGTTGGTCTCTTTGTCACCTCTTATATGCTATATAATTAAGAGGTGTCGCGGACATGTTGATGCAGAGTACTAACAAATGACAGAAGACATGGGTCCATTGAAGCGTAGTTTGTCTTGCGTTTGAGAATTTTTACTTCATTTTTTTTAAAGTTTATTTCAAATATTACCCCGCCGAAAAAATATTCCCTAATTTCTTTATGAACAGAAGTCATACCAGATAGCATGACTTTTATCAACATCCGAGTCTATGCACGGTTTAGCAAATGAGGTAACAATAAAGTCGCAAGCAGCATTCGCTCACAATCAGGGTTGATTTCTAAAAGAAATATAATTGAAACGAATGACTAGAAGTTTTCTTCGATTTGGGCTGGAAAACTTGACCGAAATGAGCAATTAAGGATAGAGAACTTTCAAGGATAGGAAGTCCATTCATTTATTAAAAATCATTTTATTTAAACTAGCAAACTTAATATGTTATTAAACCATATAATCGATGGAAAAAAGTTTTTAACTAAGTATTTTAGTGATCTTGCGTATCCGAGCCGAGTACTATCTGATTTACCAATCGGCCAAACTCGGCTCAGACGGCACGGTCTGAGCCGAGTTATAAATAACGAATGATGTGCACTTAATTACTGATTAAAATTCTCATATTAAATTGATGAAAAAATTTCCCTCACTTATTTTTTTTCTAATTCCAAATTTTTTCACAATATAAAAGCGACGATTTATTCGCGATTTCTTAAAAAATTTCCACCTGTGTCTGATTCACTGGGTGAATAAACCGTCAGGATGCTCTTTACTTTCATATAAATTCTAGGTAAACTAGTACGCAGAGGTGGGCAGTAGCGCGCTACATGTAGCGGCAGCTACTAGCGGCCGCTATATTTTCAGTAGCGGTAGCGGCGCTACATTTAAGCAATTGTAGCGGTAGCGGTAGCGCCCGCTACATTTAGAGCATGTAGCGGTAGCGGTAGCGGCCGCTACATTTCAAAGTAGCGCTGCCCAGCTCTGCTAGTACACCACTGTCGCTATTTCTAAACCAGCGACATACTTCATTCTTTGTAAAGTCGTTTGTCTCTTATCCTTATTTCTGAACCCGTGATATACTTTAAGATAGATTCTACGTTAACTCGTGCTTCGAATGAACGATCAGTTGTTCCTAACGTCAGATCCCATTAAATCAACGAGAGTTCCGCAGCACTGACGGCTTCTGCAAGTCTCATCAGAGTTCTCTTGCACCCACTCAAACTGGTAGGACCAGCCGGTCGAAGCTTTCTGTTGTACATGCTTCTTTCGCGCCATATTACTTCATGTAGCAATGTTGCATTCAACCATTCCTTGAAAGGTGGCGCTTTTAGAAATAGAAGTTATGTAAAGTATTAATAAATTAAATCAAATGATATATAGTCGAATTAATTCATGTGTCGCTCTATTAACAAAGTCAGGCGATGAAAAGGCCCTATTATTAACTTAATTTAAAATCCCGAATTATTTTTTGTACACGAAGTGAAATACCGTAACATGTTTGATCGTGAGTAACCCTATGAGCATCTCAAATAATAGCAAATTAAAATGCAATAAACACAGCGAAGTAAAAAAATTCGTGGTCAGCAACATGAGCAAGATTACACACAGTTATAATTGCACTCGAATTGGTGGACCTTAAAAAAGAATTGGCACAACATTTGAGTTATCTCAAGTTGAACCTGAAGCATACGAGAATTTTGACGGTTCTGACGTTGAGAGTATTTTGATGTATTTTATTTTTATGTTTTTGTCCTTACAAATTTCTACATGCAAGGAGATTTTCCTTAACGATTGGCAGACAGTTCGATGACACCTTATATTTTGCTGATGCAAAATGGCAAGCCTTGTATGGATTACAATTGCACGGCAAAGCATTGTATTTATTTACCCACACTCGAATGCGATTTTGGAGGCCTACGTGAAGCAAAATCAGAGATGAAAAAAATAACCGAGAGTTGATAGCTTGGACTTCAAGAATAATTCATAGAATAGTTCCTCTGTGTATTGATAGAACCTTTAAATGGCTGTAATGCACATCCTTCGGTAGCTGTGAATTATCTTCTCCATCATATTCGAACAGATTTCATTGTCATTAGACATTAGTGTTCTGCTTGAACTACTAGTCTTTAATCTTATTAGGTATCTCGACCTGACTAAGATACCATCAACCCCCACATGGCACATTATGGCTTGATAAATTTTTTACATAAGCCATCAAATAGTCAAATAATATAATGTATGTTGATCAATTATCATATTGACGCTATGCTTAATTAATATAATCCATAAATACGGCTGGTGAAAAGCAAATATGACTTAAAGTATTGCACATAATCTTGAGCCAAAATTCGCCCCTTCAAGACGACTTCAAGACGTCTTCATTAGTCAACCTGTCAGCATGTGTCGACTGTGCTCCTTGAGAAATTAATGGAATTACAGTGTCTGCTTCGAAAATAACCCGAATTTAATAAAGTGTTACAGTTCAATCAATTCATTTGCTCGGCAAAATAGTTGAACACAATGGTGTGATACCTCAATTCTATAAGTTTTGCTTCCGTTTTGATTCGTCAGCTTACATCAAGTTACATGGGATAACCTGAGTGTGAGTGGCCTAGTCCACTTCATACTTTTCTTACAGTAATCAAAAGTGAATTAATCATTTTGATTTAACTGATAAATATCGAGGAGATTACGAATATAGTTTTGATCATGTGTATTGTAATTTTAAAATGTACTGTATAAGTATAACTTCTGTTGGTTGGGGAAAGTCATGTAATGTGAAAGAATTGCGTTGAACGGAGTAGGGAGATAGTTAGTCTAACTAGTTAGGAACGAGATGGGCATCGCATGTTTACCACCTATCCTCCATCTTCAGACTCAAAGCTTGATCACGTAGTATTAGCTCGTCATAAACAACTTTGCTTCAGTGGGTTTTATTCTATTGGTTTTGATGGTGTGTTATGACTTTCATCATTTTCGAAAGAAATTATTGTACCTACAGATCTTTGAGCTGTCTCACGTGTTTTTGTTTTCAGGCCCAACATCTGTGGGTCTCGGTCCCGCAGTTTCTGCTGCCCAGGCTGGTCGCAGAAACACGACAATAGACTTTGTATTATCCGTGAGTCCCGATCTCATAACAATATTTCATGTTATTATTATTATTCCACTCTCATTGAAGAATTTGGTTCTGTGTTGACACATCAGTATTGTTCCTTTTTGTTAAACTGACCAAAACTTCTTTGGAAGATTATGAATAAATTTCAAATACCTTCTTAATAAATAATTGTTACTTTTAAACGTTGTCAAAAGTCTTTACTGATCAACAAATTTATTAAGAACTGATGAAATATTTGAAATACTTGATACGTGTAGTACTAATTTGTGCTTTTAGAAAAAATTTATGAATTCACCGACGAATTTGTCCTCCTTTTCGTTGTTCATCTTCATCTTGATGATATAGAAGTAGATTCAAATTCAACATGCACATGTAGAACACACATGTTTAATTTCTATCTTAACAAATATAATGCTTGGTTTGAGCAGCTGTGTGTTTGCGGGATTGCGGGCTGGCGGGCCGTTGCGTGAGGCCAAACTTGTGCATCTGTCAGGGCGGGTTCATCGCGCCCACATGTGTGGGCAGCGGAGGACGCGGCCCGAGCAACTTTAATGGAGGCTCTTTTGGGGGAGGCATTGGTGGTAACGGAGCGGGTGGTGGCGGGACAACGGGTTCTGTTGGTGGTGGGGGATTAGGATTTAACGGAGGTGGTGTCGGAGGTGGCGGGATTGGTGGTGGTATAGGTGGCGGGATTGGAGGTGGGGGCGCCGGGATTGGAGGTGGTGGTAGCGGGATTGGAGGAGGTGGTGGAGGCAGTTTTGGCGGTGGAGGAAGTTTTGGTGGCGGCGGGGGAAGTTTTGGTGGCGGAGGAGACCTGAACGGGGGTGGAGGAGGATCAGGTCTAGGCCCTAATTTAGAAAATGGTTTTGGAGGCGGTGGCGGTGGTAGTTTTGGAGGCGGTGGTGGTTTTGGGGGTGGTGGTGGAACCACCAATGGCGGATCATCAGGTGGCTTCGTTGGCGGTGGCAACGGAAACATCGGCGGCGGATCGTCGGGAAGCTTCACTGGTGGCCCCGATGTACCATGTAAGTCCTACTGTTCATGGTGCTTCTGAATTGTCTTACACAAATGTACGCAGTTATCATCATCTTAATGCCTTTTTAAATATTCAACTCACTCACATAGAATGAAATTTTCCCTTAAATCGTCTTTACTAGTCTCTCACCTTGTTTTTAATCCAACACGATACAGTTGCAGTGAATAAACAAACTCGAACATGAGGTATTTCTGTCCAGTGTGCAGGGAACCTTGTCTCAACGGCGGCCGGTGCGTGGGACGTGACCGCTGCACTTGCGTCTACGGCTTCACCGGCCGTCGCTGCGAGGCGGGTAAGATACACCTGCACATTTTGTCTGTCTCCGTATGTCTTACGCTCGTGGTAGTCTCAGGCAACGCTACAACAGCAGGTTGTGTGTATCTGCAATATCCTTAGTATGTGTTTCTGACGTAGCAGTTCCAGGCTACGCTGGCACGCCACCTATGATAACAGTGTCATCTATTTTTATTAGGCCGTGTTGGCGTGTAGTCGATTCTCAACCACCGACCACCTTCCCGATTTCCACCACAATTTTCTTAACAATTTGCCGGTTTCGAATCCCCAATACCAGGTTCCGATCTTGGCGATCTTAACCACTGGATTGCATTGGGATTTTTCTACTGCTACTGGTGCTGAAACTGATAACAGATAAATAGTGTCCCTACACATGCATTTGACGTGTTAGATGTGTAGTAATATCATAATGTTTCGCGTCTCGAATTTCGGTTATCTAATGTGCCGAAAAAATGTGTAGATGAACCCAATTATTTCCGTTTTGACCTTATGATCCTAGGGGAACCTATGGGAAATTATCCTAGGGGAACCATAATTCAATCGAAATTGTTAATATACAAAAATGATGCTATCGAACTTGCTAACGTCCAAAAATCAGTTTATCTCAATTTTTAACGTACGCAAATAATGCTTACGTACGAAAATGATGGCAACGTACGGAAGTAATGGCAAGGTACTAAAACGATGGCAACGTACAAAAGTGATGGCAATGTACGAAAATGATGCCTAGCGATCTTGCTGACGTACGAAATTTATTCATTCATGAAGTTTCATGATACCAAAGAAATCGCTAACGTACTTAAACCATTGCAGACTACAGGACCGGCCCTTGCTTCACTAAGGTGACGCACGGCATGTGTCAGGGAGAGCTGCAGGGTGTTGCGTGCACGCGCCAGCTCTGCTGTGCAACTATAGGCAAGGCATGGGGACATCCTTGTGAACACTGCCCTGAGAGACTCAACTGCCAGCCTGGATACCTTAAAAATATCCACAGCCAACAATGTGTCGGTGAGTCCATTTGTTCTCGAGTTAGTCGTTTACCAGTAGTATTGAGATGATGTTTTTCCTGTGCTTATTTTTATAATAATAATAGCGGTTTCAGCTTTTAGTAGGCCGTAGGCCTGTCACCGATTCTTAGCATCGCAGAACATTCTCAGCTTGATGTGGTCTCGAACACGCAACTCACTGCTTCAATTTTGTTTTGCTTAACCGCCCGGCCTCCTCGCCGATTCTGACCAGGGGCCATACTTTCAAAACTGGCTAAGTGAACGTAAGTATTTACGCTCTATTTTTTTAACTATGATTGGTGGATTTTGCTTGAAAGGCCGTCAACGAATGGCTGATGAACTTACGATCTCTTAACTTTTTTGAAAGTATAGGCCCAGAAACTGGCGTACAGAGCTGGGATCAAACCCGCGCCTCTCGGCGCCAATCTTGGTACTCTGAACTTTAACCACTGGACCACCCTGCCCTTAACTACTGGGCCACCCTGCCCAGTTTTTTTGGTTACATTTCTTTACAGATTTAAATTTCTTGTTCTGTAATGGAATTATTCTTGATGTTAATCGAGACGTGGCGTATTTAGGTAGAGTTTTACACGTCTCGTTTCCTCAAATACTAAGAACTCAATAAGCTTTGGTTTTCAGATATTGACGAATGCGAGGCAATACCTGGTCTGTGCGAGGGAGGCTCGTGCTCTAACACTGAGGGCTCGTTCACTTGCATCTGTCCTGAGGGACAAGCAAGGAACCCTGAAACTAACGCGTGTGAAGATCGTGACGAATGTCTCGATGAGAACGTCTGCGAGAACGGACGATGTGTGAACACGAATGGAGGCTTCTACTGCAGCTGCAGCAGAGGATTTATCCCTAGTCCCGACCGCAAGAGGTGCATTGGTGAGTTTCATCTAAGGAAAATACTTTAAGATGGCTGCAAGCATCCAAGTTTCTTAAGGAATTTAAAAGCAAAGGAAACGCCAAGAAAATTCATCATATCGATATTGAATATGATCTATATTTTCAATATCGATGTGGTGAATTTTCTTGGCGTTTTCTTTGCTTTTAAATTCTTTGTGAACTTACGATATAAGCAGACTGAAAATATAAGTTCAAGTTTCTTGATATATAAATGGACCATATTTTATTTCACTTTAGTGGCTAACTGTTTTTTTATGTTAAGGCTTCTGAGTAATTCCGGTTATTTGAGTGAAAAAGTTATCACATTCAAATTTAATTAAAATCTTTGAAACAGATTTAGTTCAAATCATATGAACTCCCTAATCGATGGTTGACTTTGGAAAGCTAAGACTTTAAGGAACGGCCACGAACTTCTAATGTTTGCATTACTGTACGACAATTTCAACTGATGAGACGCTCGAAATGGTAAGCGTCACAACCTTTTAACTCGACTTTGAAGTGGTAGTTTATTTAAATATAACCATCTTTAAATGATTTCTCAGAGGTTTTCTGAGGGGAACAACAATAATCTTTGTGTTTGCACTGATGAGACGCTCGAAATGGTAAGCGTCAAACTACCTTTTAATTCGACTTTGAAGTAGTTTATTTAAATATAACCATCTTTAAATGATTTCTCATAGGTTTTCTGAGGGGAACAACAATAATCTTTGTGTTTGTACTGATGAGACGCTCGAAATGGCAACTACCTCCATACTCGACTTTGAAGTTGTTTATTTAATTATATTACCATCTTTAAATGATTTCTCAGAGGTTTTTCTGAGGGGAACAGCAATAAACTTTGATGTTATTCGGTTGATAGACGCGCGGCAGGGCAATTGCTACACTGAGATCAGGACGGGTGGACGCTGCCAGCGACCGCTGCCCGTCACGCTCACGAAGCAGGCATGCTGCTGCGGCAAGAACATGGGCAAGGCCTGGGGCACCAGGGCTTCTGATTGCTCCCCCTGCCCGATGATTGGCGAGGGTAAGGCACCTTATTTTTAAATACAACTCTTGATCGAAAGGATTTTTAGATACAACTCTTGAGTATCGTATTATGATCGAAAGGATTTTTAAATAGAATTTTTATTTATCGTATGTTTGTGGGAAGATTTTTTCATAGGGAACTTTTGTGGAACACAAGTTGCCTGTATATGCGTTTTTGAATCCAAATTTCAAGTATCATGCATTGACTGGTAGTATTTATTAATTAAAATTTTTTGTATCTTTTGTTGGCGGTGAAGATTTTCAAATCCAGCTTTTGAGGATCGTGTATAATCCAGCTTTTGAGGATCGTGTATTAACAGGCCAGCCAGAAACATCCTTGACAAATTATTCATTTTCGATGGTTCTTCCTTATTAAGATGACGGCAATTTTGTTAAGTGGGGTGGTTAAGGTGAATATAAGTCTAGTAGCTATTTCAAACCAACGTCCCAGTTTTAAAAATATCCAGTCAAAGGACCTGTTCTTAGTTCTCCTGTGAACATGTCGCGAAAAGGACAAGAATCAGCGACAGGCCACATCAGACCTATTCCTCAGCGCCATCATTATGATATGATATGATAATATTATTCAATTAGATTGCTTAAATTTCTGCTTACGTTATTTCTATCATTGAAAGGAATTACTGAATTATTTTTGATCCAGAACAAATATTTCGAAAGGGCTCGTTTCGGTCCCTCTTGATGCAGCAAAAGACCGCGTCTGTTTCAGAGGAGCACCAGCGGCTGTGTCTGATAGGGGGTGTCAGCATGCCTCCTGTGGACGAGTGCACCCTGAAGCCTGACTTGTGTGGGGACGGCGTCTGTAGGGACACCGACGACGGCTACTACTGCGAGTGCTTTACAGGCTTCACTAATAACGGCGGCACCGATAAATGTTACGGTGAGTACCGCGAGAAGTTTACAGGCTTCACTAATAACGGCGGCACCGACAAATGTTACGGTGTGTACTGCGAGAAGTTTACAGGCCGTAAAAATAACAATAACGGCGCCACCGACAAATGTTACGGTGTGTACCGCTAGAAGTTTGCAGGCTTCACCAATAAAGGCGGCACCGACAAATGTTACGGTGTGTACCGCGAGATGTTGCGCGGCATGAGATGGAAGCAATCAGTCGAAGAAATAAATGAGACTTGTCCTAATAGCGATGCAATTGTTGCTCTTTTGTGGAGAAGCTGTTATATTTTTGCTCGGAAAAAGAGCATTTCTGTGCTACGTACATAAAGCGTGTCGCTATTTGCACGATATGACCCATTCCTTTTCTGTGAGGTTGTTCTCGTTAATCGGGTCTTTGATTTGGGGTCTGTGCCATTCGCATTCATGCGTTTTATGCTCAATTATTAGAGAAAAATGATAGATGATAATAATTATAATAATAATTGCTATCAAGGCGAGATTATTTTCTGTCCATCTTATGTATAATTGTTCACTCAGACGTGAACGAGTGTCTTCAAGGCAAGTGCGCTGGCGGCCGCTGCATCAACACGCGTGGAAGTTTCACGTGCGTCTGTCCCACTGGTTTCGATATCTCCTCCGACGGACAGAGCTGCATCGGTAAGTCAACCTCGAACTCACTTCACAAGCATTCATACTTGCTTGATCCACTGCGCTTCTCTACACTTCCATACTTGAAAATTTGCTTCGTCACTGCCTGACTCACGAAGTTTCATAAATGAAGTAAAGAAGTAAATTGTGCATGGAGATTAGAATGAGATTATCGTATATATTCACAATTGAATTATTATGTTCTCTTGAATTTATCCAATGAAGTCACATATTCCTAATATTCACACGACATAAATGACACTTCTCAGTATCAGTTGCAGCCAGTCATAAATTATCATAATTGTTGTTGACAGATCACGACGAGTGCTCTGAGACCGGCATGTGCAACAACGGCGTGTGCACCAACATGGACGGTTCCTTCAAGTGTGTGTGCAGCCCAGGATACGTCCTGTCATCATCGGGTTTTGCCTGCATAGGTTGGTTATCCTAAGACTTAAAATCAGCAGTAACTATATTCAGTATTGCCCCGTCTTATACGATGTATTTTTTGTGCTTTCAAGTTATATTTATTTTATATTAGTATACATATATTCAATTGCTAAACACACCCCACTAGGCATATGACATTGAAATAAAGTTAAATAATCGTTTCAACTTAATCAACTTTAAATCAACATCGTTTCAACGCCAGTTGCCTTGACAGATATATCTTCTACCTACGTCGATCTTCTACTGTCGATTTTCTACTTAGAAAAGTAGTTCCAAAAAGCCAAAATAAATGCTGGTGTTCTAAGGATATTCGATTCAAACCATCGAAATTAATTCGATTATGAAGACTTTAGTTGCTCCTCCTATAAAATTTAGTTGGTATTTTGCTACAAAGCTTCGTAATTGAATTGGAACTTGAAATAATAATTTGTTGCGCTGATGTTATTCTAGACGCTTACTTCAATCGGCTATTACAGCCAACTCCTTCAAAATCACTATCGTTATTTCTTTATATTATTATTCACCATCACGAGTGTCAGCATGTTTTTGAATGCTACAAATTCATGTCATTAAGATTTACAGACAATGAGTTCAATCAAAAACACCGTTCGATTAAGAAAAATGTTAATAAAAATTAAGTTATATTGATTCAGTTGTCTATAACGTTCTTCAGATCATTAAGATTCAGAGACAATGAGTTCAATCAAAAACACCGTTTGATTTTTTATAAATATACATCAATGAAAATTCAGTTATATTGATCGAATTTTTCATAACATTGTTCAGACATCAACGAGTGCGCCGATAACCCTCGCATTTGTCTGGCGGGCTACTGCGAGAACTTGGACGGGAGCTACCGCTGCCTCTGCGACAACGGCTACACGCATGCTACCGACGGCTCCTTCTGCACAGACACGGACGAGTGTGCAGAGACCGGCATGTGCGAACACGGTCAATGTGTCAACATGGACGGATCATTTAAATGTGTATGTCAACCCGGCTACGAGCTGGCACCCAGCGGCAAGACTTGTATTGGTGAGCCCCATTACAAATAATGAGAGTTACCCTAGAGTTATCCCTGGTAAGGGTAATATAAGTTTCCAAGCCGTTAGACACGAATAAAACCGACGATGGTTAATGTATCATTAGAAAAAGTGTTTGGATAACGAACGTGGATTTTGAATTCGTACGAACAGCAAGTTGCGATGGTAGAAACTTCCATTATGTCTATTGCACTAGGTTTCTTATAGTAAGTTTAGCGTCAACCTATTCACCCACAATTAAACATGTAAGAAACATATTTGTATCCATCACGTTGAATGTAGTTTATTCTTCATATGTTGATCGCCTGATCAACATATGAAGGCTCTCCAAGTTAAGCGTTAACCTATTCACCTACAATTAAACATGTAAGAAACATTTTTGTATCCATCACGTTGAATGTAGTTTATTCTTCATATGTTGATTGCCGAACCGATGTTTACGGCAGACCGGGACGAGTGTCAGACGCAGCCGTGCCGCAACGGACGCTGCACCAACACACCCGGCAGCTTCCGCTGCGACTGCCCTCCGGGCTTCAGTCTCGGCGCTGACGGTTCCTCATGTCTTGGTAAGTAAATTAATAAATATATCTGATAAAGTATTTATAAATAAAAACTCTACAAAAAACATGATATTGATATTAACGGTTCCTCTTGTCTTGGTGAGTAAACTAATAAATATATTTGATAAAGTATTTATAAATAAAAACTCTACAAAAAAATATGATATAGATATTTAAAATTAACCATTATAAAATATTTGTTCCGGTGCATCATCCGTGTTTCTAAATGGAATTTAATTCGTGTGATTAAATTCATCACCCAGGTTATAACAGCATTAGAATGGATGATACAAAATTTTTTTAGAGAGTTGCAAAACGATCTCCAGCAATTGTTTTTCTTAAAAAACAGGGTCCGAAAAAATTGAGCTAAAGCTAAATTAAATTGAGCTAAATTTGAAAATTTAGCTCAAAGTTACCACCGCCATTGAATTATGGTAAACTTATTTAGGGCAGAAACTAAGTTGTATCTCAAACTTTGCCTGAAAATTACCGCCACTTTTGAATTGTGGTACACGTCTTTGTACAGATACAAAGTTGTATCTCAAGCTTTGCCAGAAAATTACCGCCACTTTTGAATTATGGTAAATTTTTTTGTACAGATACCAAGTTGGATTACTGCTACGCTGTGTTCCGTGACGGCCAGTGTTCGAACCCCTCTACGACGCCCACGACAAAAAGCGCGTGCTGCTGCTGCTCGGTGATCGTGGGGCAGCCCATGGGCTGGGGCACACCGTGCCAGGCGTGCCCTCAGTCTGGCAGCACAGAGTTTGCCAACCTCTGCCCGCACGGACCTGGCATAACCCACGAAGGCGATGGTGTGGCATACAGCTAACTTTAAGTACTAGAATTATCCTTTTAAGGTATTTTTTAGTAAATTTTTTTGCATTACCACATATATAAATTTATTTCGGTTTACTTAATTATATTTAACTATATTTATTTATCTGGAAAAACGTTTACTATGTCATCAGGGGATCTTGTTTGTTCGATTGCAGCTCGTTTGTTGTCGGCAATTAATAATTAAATTAAATGGCGCATGAAGCATAGGCAATATTAGAATAATTATGCGAATAAGTCGGTACCTTGCATCAACATTTTAATTGAGAGTGAATGCTTTCAGATCTTGTACAGCATCGCTATACAAAGTTGATACAGAACACTCAAATCTTATTTTTACATAATCTCATTATTTTTCGAGCATATTTCGTTATTTTAACATTAATGCAAAGTCAATATACACAATACAAGACATTTCCTGTGCAGACATCAACGAGTGCGCCCAGAACCCTGCCATCTGCCACAACGGCGCGTGCGAGAACCTGAAGGGCGGCTACCGCTGCATCTGCAACCCCGGCTACATCGTGGACAGCACCGGCCGCCTCTGCCAGGACATCAACGAGTGTGCCATCAACAACCTGCTCTGTGATGGTGGACAGGTTAGGCCTTTGTGATGGTGGACAGGTTAGACCTTTGTGATGGTGGACAGGTTAGGCCTTTGTGATGGTGGACAGGTTAGACCTTTGTGATGGTGGACAGGTTAGGCCCTGTCTCTTATACACATCTAGATGTGTATAAGAGACAGGTGTGATGTGTTTGTTTGATGGAGGGCTACAACAGCAGTCAATGTGATGTGTTTGTTTGATGGAGGGCAACAACAGCAGTCAATGTGATGTGTTTGTTTGATGGAGGGCTACAACAGCAGTCAATGTGATGTGTTTGTTTGATGGAGGGCAACAACAGCAGTCAATGTGATGTGTTTGTTCGATGGAGGGCAACAACAGCAGTCAATGTGATATGTTTGTTTGATGGAGGGCAGTGTCGCAACACGCCCGGCAGCTTCCAGTGCATCTGTCCGTCCGGGACGCAGCTAAACCAAGGCTCGCACATCTGCGAGGATGTGGACGAGTGTGTCGAGCTGGGGCCCGACGTGTGCGTGGGCGGCACTTGTGTTAACGTCATCGGCTCGTATCGCTGCGAGTGCGACGAGGGCACGATACTCGACTCGACTGGCAGATTCTGCATTGGCAAGTCGATATTTTTAGCATTGATTTGAGTTTAGCGTTGGTTTCCGCGATTTTTAGTTGATTTCAGTTGGTTCAGTTAGTACAATTTTCAGTTAGGATCGCTGTCCGCGATCCTAACATAATCAATCTTAAACATAGTTATAATATGGCAACGCAAATGCTTGATATTTTCTAGAGAAAAATATATAGTTCTAAAGCAAGTCGAAAAATGTTGATGTGTCTGATTTTGCTAACTAATACTTATTGCATTTCGTTTCAAGTGCCGTTAATTTTTTTTACCATTAATTTGCTGCATTTGACTATTGAACGTACCAGACAATCGCCGAGGCTCTTGCTGGTCTAAAGTCGTCAACGGTCGCTGCGAGAACAACATCCCCAGACTGACCCTCAAGTCGGAGTGCTGCTGCACCATCGGCAAGGCCTGGGGCTCCCCCTGCGAGATCTGCAACCCTGGCGACTGTCCCTGTCCTATTGGCTACGCAAAGGTGTGTGGTGCTTCGAGATATTCACTTTAAAAAACAAATTATCCATCTATATTCTTCATATAATAATCAGAATAGCAAGCTTCATAATAAGATTTTGTTATGTGGTTTTCACTGTTCATAGATAGACGGTAAAACTTGTCTGGATGTGGACGAGTGCGTGCTCAACCCCAGCATATGCAAGGGAGGCGGACAGTGCGTTAACACAGACGGTTCCTTCACATGCTCGTGTCCTCCCGGTCTCACTATCGACGACACCAAAACTAAATGTTTGGATGTCCGCGAAGAGACTTGTTACCTCACCTACAAGACGGGCATCTGTTCCAAGCCTCTTGAGGTCTGTGTCTTGCAAGACAGGGCTATTGTTGGCTTAAGAAGTTTTTTTCTTAAAAGTTATTGTTGTTATTCTTGGCACACAAGTCATTTTGGAAATAAAATCGCTTAAACTTTAGTTAATTGTTAATTTTAGTAGACAGTTTTTAATTGTTAATTGTAGTAGACAGCAAATAACGAAGAATTATTTCTTGTTGCCTCCTAAAAGACGAACAAATAAGGTTGTGAAATACATTGTAAAGTGCAAATATCTCAGTAAAGTTCGTAAAGTTCACTCACCGAACTGCAGGGTAAGTATCACAAGTCAACTTGCTGCTGCACAATCGGCCGTGCCTGGGGCGCCGATTGTGATGCCTGTCCTCGGCCTGGCAGTGAGGCGTTCGAAGATTTGTGTCCTAAGAGTTACGGTTACGACGGCCGTAAAGACATCAACGAGTGCACGACCGTACCTGACTTGTGCAACAACGGCCGGTGCAGGAACTCTGTTGGATCGTACTCATGTCGCTGCAATCAGGGCTACGCACTTGATGAGGATGGCGTCCAATGTCTCGGTAATTATTTTATGAAATCATTATTTTTTGGAGAATGAAATTATTGCAAGGAATCTATTATTCCAATTTCTTGGTTAATATTTTATGGAATGTACTTTTTTAATGTCTTGGTAAATATTGTATGGAATCTAATATTTCTGTTAGAATTGCTCATACGAGGCTTGCACTACCATCAACCCCATTTGTGTTAGAGGTTTCTTGTCATTTTTGTAACAAATTAACCGACACAACACCGGAAATTACGACGTTCATGTTCAGCTGCATTGTGACACTAGCAGTTCAAAATGCTGTAGGTTGACTGTTTGACCGGTTAAAAAAAATACATCGAACCTACGGTCTGCTATGATTTATATGTTAATGATAACTTTTCGGCTTTTGAGTTTCCTACGCAATAAACTCTTGCAACAAATGCCGGAAAGATAGGAAGTACCACTATGAAAATAACTTTTGCAACAGATGCTAGTAGGATAGTACTACTTGCCACAATGAAAATCGCGCTTTGAAGTTATTGCAGAGCATTGAAGTTAACTTCTTCAAGATTTCGCAGTGCATTTTATCCAATTCTTTCGGGAAGCGCAACTTGGTACAGACAATTAATGTTTCAGACATCGACGAATGCAGCATCATGCACGGCGTGTGCGGCAACGGCACCTGCCAGAACGTCGCAGGCTCGTTTGGCTGTGACTGCAACGTAGGATTCGAGTCCACAATGATGATGCAAGTATGCATGGGTGAGTATGATGTCATCATCGTCTTAAGGCTGGCAGGATGTCCAGAAATTGTGGCTACAAGTTATACCGGCGTTGTAAAAAGTTGTCCTCTCTCCTTACAATTGTCCGTGTGACTACAGCAATGTCTCGTGGTCTGGTTAGTGTAGGTAAAGTATGTCTCTTTTTTCCAACTTTGATGCTGAAGACTTTCATGAACTAAAATTTTCAAGGAAGTAAATACTGAGAGTGTACTAGAAATGTTTATTTTGAACACATTTTCATAACAAAAGTTGACTGTATGAATTAGTACCTTCTAGCAAACTTCTGTCAGAACTACGTGAAGCAGTGATTACATGTCTATTTGCAAGCAACAATGCTCCCAGAATAACACTTGTATTCGTGTGAGCAGATATCGATGAATGCGAGAGAATCCCCGGGCTGTGCAGAGGCGGTCGCTGCATCAATACGCCTGGCAGTTTCAGGTAATTCAAAGCTCGCCACATTCTTCACTCAAGGAAAACAATTGCTAGCCTAAGTGATTTAATTAACTGGGTCCAGAGCTTGTCGGATAGATAATTAAAGCACGTTGGTGAGTCAGTATGGGTTACTCATGTTACAATTTTAATCACCCGAGGTTTCTCCCTTCCTGGAGAAATAATTACATTGCTGATGTGAGTAATGCAACTGAAGGGAGTTAGAGACATGGCTGGCTCATTCGTGGAAATCTTTGTCATGCGTTGAAACTATCCAAGCGCGTAATCCTGATTTTCAAAATATGGAAGTAATTCGATATTATTGTAATGGCTTACTAATTTTATTAAAAGCAGCATTAAAAATGCTGTACTACCATATAACGCCACCTTAGGAGTTCGATTTATGTTATTTTTGTCATGTATTTATGCTATATTTGTTAATGCACTCATCGTGCATATACGCGTTTTTTTCTCCTCCCGTCATCCCTTGTTGTCTCTTTAATAAGTTTAAGATTATCAGGTCTGACAATCTCCAACAAATTCAATCTAGAATTTTTGTTGTTGCGGTGCCACTAGGAAAGAGTGGAAAAGAACAAGAGGTGGCGCAGTGTGGCCGGAAAGCGGAAATGGAAAAGACAGTAGGAGATGAAAAGGCGCATTGCGCATGATTTGGTCGGTTGTAGGTGGTTGGGGTTGTCTAGGGTTGGGGGAGGGGTTGTTAAGCCGTCGGGACTTTGGATGGTTCAGGAGGGTGGGTGATGAGAGGGTGGTGGTTATCTATTTAAATTTATACAAGCGTTCTCGCTTTTTTTAATTTTGTGTTTTTATATATTTTTTTTATTTTGTTAATGGATATGATGAATAGGGGTGGGGGGGGGGCTGATCATGCTAATAATGATTGATGATGATGAAGATGAAGGCGGTGGGTGAGTCGCTCGAGACTCGGAAGAAAGTAGAGGGTATGTTGGTTGGTTTCGTCCTAAGTTTTCGGTCTCGGCTTAACTGTACGTCACTCTCGGCTAGTCACGTCAGTCCGTCAGTGTGATGGTGTATTTGACGATGTGTGTTGTATTGGGACCAACTACGCCCAAACCTGATTAGAACAACTCCGTCCAGTTGCAGCATGGTCCGCTGTATATTTATTTTTACAGAACTGGAGGTGGGGGACTTAGTGCGAGTATTTTGGAGCTATAGAATAACCGGTACAAATCTAGAAACACCGTCAAAAATACAACTCGTATATGCCACCCGTGCAGATGCGAGTGCCCTCCAGGCCACGAGCTCTCGCCCAACCAACGCTCGTGCAAAGACACGGACGAGTGCTCCGTAGACTCCGGCATTTGCTCCAACGGCGTGTGTGAGAACATGATGGGCACCTACCAGTGTATGTGCAACGACGGCTACCAGCAGACGGGACAGAAATCTCACTGTGAAGGTTGGTTTGGCCGTAGACAAGGCAGGTTTAAACATGGTTGAACTAGTGTAAGGTTGACCCATGAGAAGCTTATTTTCGCGGAGGGAGCTTTTTGTTCGCATGTGACGTCTCTGATCTCAGTGACGTCACGGGCATTAACCAATCACCGAAATGCGATCAAACCAGTCAACCAATCCGTCATGGAAATGATCTCAGTGACGTCACGGGCATTAACCAATCACCGAAATGCGATCAAACCAGTCGACAAATCCGTCATGGGAATGACGAGTTTGTTTACGTTTCTCGATCTGAGTGACGTAACAAGAAAGCTGAACTGAAAGGCGGAACTTCTCGTGGGTCAACCTAATATAGTTCAACCATGGGCTTAAAGACTTGTGACGAGGTAAAATTTGCGTATTTGGAATAAGACATGATTATGAAGAAGATGCAGATTCAGATTGGGAGGAAAACCATTTCCATGTTTTATGTTATTAAATAACTGATTACTCGGAGTGTTTTTGTAAAATGCCGTACCAGTTGGATGAAGATGATGAAGTAACAAATTAAGAACATGTACGAGAATTGTTACAAATAGTTCGACATCTTTTTCAAAATGAATTTAAAAATGAAGACTCCGTTTTCAGATGACATAGTGAAAAAATGTCAGTTATGTCAATAGTTCTCAGATAAGGACGTAATAAGCCTGAGGTTCACAAGCATGAATGTTCCTTGTATATTTCTCGAACAACGAAGCTACAAACATACTCGTGTTTGTAGATACGGACTAGACCTCAACAGCTCATGCACACCGAAGGGAAATAATACCACTCATGTTTCAGGTCTCACATTCCCGCTACCGGTGTTGATATTTCATACGCAGCAAAGGTAATAATATTCGCTGGTTTTCAGACATGGATGAATGTTCCATGAACAATGGCGGTTGTGACGACGTTTGTGTGAACACCCCGGGCAGCTTCTCTTGCTCCTGCTCCGCTGGCTACATGCTTCTCATGGACGGACGCTCTTGCTCCGATGTCGACGAATGTAAAGGTATTTTACTATTTTTCCTCATGCAACATGTTATAGGGCTGAAATAATTTCTTGGTTTCTTTCTAGAATAATTTCAGTCTGATTACAATAACCTAAATTATTAGTACATGCAATTATTACCATCCGTTAACATGAATATTTTGATTGATTCTTAATTCATCACAAAATTGAATAGATTTGACAACATAAAATAAAAAAATCACTTTTTTGATAGCTCCAATTGGATTGAATGAATCAAATAAATTAATTTGATTTAAGTTCGAAAGAAGTGCTAAATTTGTGGCTAGAGCTCATACATGTTATATACAGAATGCTCACACAAATTTTGTTTTTAATGAGGATTTGCTGTTAATATGTTAGCTTCTCTGTCCCTGGCAGAAAATCCTTCAATTTGCAACGGCGGCAAGTGCCAGAACGTGCCCGGCAGCTTCCGCTGTCAGTGCGAGGGCGGCCTGCTGCCTGACCCTGCGTCCACGGGCTGCGTCGGTACGTTTAGGCCGCTGTATTAGCCGTATATGCTGTATAATATCATTCAGCCCGTATTTACTGTATAATATCATTAAGCTCGTATTAACTGTATAATATCATTATGCCCGTATTAGCCGTGGTTACTGTATAATATTATACAGCCCGTATTAACTGTATAATATAATTCAGCCCGTATTAACCTTATTTACTGTATAATATCATTCAGCCCGTATTACTGTATAATATCATACAGCCCGTATTAACCGCATTTACTGTATTATATCATACAGCCCACATTAACCAGATTTACTGTATAATATCACACAGCCTGCATTAACCGTATTTAATGTATAATATCATTCAGCCTGTATTCTAGTCTTCGGTGCCTATGTGTGACGCAGATTCATTGTTGTATTAGCGTCAAAATTAAATAGCTTAACAGATTTGTTTTAGAAAGTAGTACCATAATCAAAATGTAGTTTGTTAAAATTTTACCGGAGTTTTACTCTATCACTAATCGGCATGACGATGCATCAAATATACGTCAGTCGTTTTATTCGTGTAGTATCATCTTCTTATTGACTTAGCTGTAGGTGCTACTAAGTTAAAATCTGTGGAACAAACATTGGTGATTAAGTAATAGTTTTATCATCGTAGCAACTCTAATGTATTGTATTTGTGGTGCAGACGTGAACGAGTGCGACATGAACAGCAACTTGTGTCAGAACGGCCGTTGCGACAACACTGTTGGTTCGTTCACGTGCCGCTGTGAACCGGGATACAGCGTCAAAGAGAACCAGGGTCCAGGGTGCACTGACGACGACGAGTGCGCCCTCAACATCTACAACTGCGATAAGAATGCGCGATGTGTTAACATCGACGGCACGTATGAGTGCCGCTGCAACGAAGGCTTCACAGGTAGGAGTGTGACAGTAATTACACAGTAGGAGTGTAACAGTAATTCAAGGATAACAAAGCATGGCATCTTCGGCGTTGAAGAATAGGCCTGTGTTCGACTCATGTACTTTTCGTGACTTGTTCATAGATGTATGAACTGGTCTTTTAACCAGATCTTTTCAACTGATGTTGGTTCTGCATAATCGCTGGACTTTTACTAGTTACGTAGGGTGCTAGGTACTTCAAAACTGAACATATGCTTGAAGACTAAACAACGAGCGAGGGAGCTATTTATTACGTTAAGGCATTCCCACAACATCCAAGTCTGCTAAATTTCAATGATCAATAGCTTGTGAAATACATATAGTATTTCAGGTGCGATTATTTCGATAGACAATGATTTCCATTGATGAATGTACTAAAAAAAATGTAGGAAAATGTATAATATTTTTTCAGTATCTTTATTCTCTTCCGGAAGGCAGCGGGAAAAATTGCCGTGATGTGAACGAGTGTCTGTCGAACAACGGCGGCTGCGACCAGGACGCGCAGTGCGTCAATACCGACGGCTCCTTCAAGTGCATCTGCGACGCAGGCTTCAGGGGCGACGGGTATTTCTGCGAGGACATCGACGAGTGTTCGCAGGACCCAACTCTCTGCGAGAACGGCCAATGCCTCAACTTCCCTGGTTCTTTCCAGTGCGACTGCGAGATGGGCTTCATGCATCCCGACATTCACAACGAGCAGACCTGCGTTGACATAGACGAATGTGATATGTTCAACAACTTGTGTGTCTTTGGTCAATGTGAGAACGTCTTTGGAATGTTCAGATGCATTTGCGATAAAGGTTACCATCTCGATGACACTGGTGGCAATTGCACTGACATTGACGAATGCAACAAGCCTGACGTGTGTCAGTTCGGCACGTGCGTCAACCAACAGGGCACCCACGTCTGCGAGTGTCCTCCTAACTACGAGCTTATCGACTCAAAAGGTTACCATCTCGATGACACTGGTGGCAATTGCACTGACATTGACGAATGCAACAAGCCTGACGTGTGTCAGTTCGGCACGTGCGTCAACCAGCAGGGCACCCACGTCTGCGAGTGTCCTCCTAACTACGAGCTTATCGACTCAGGCGACGGCTGCGTCGGTGAGTCATGAACTGGACATATGAGAGACTAATCGAACTGAGAAACTATTTTGGAATGTTGATTCCTTATAAATTATAACCAAGTCAAGCAGTATTGAACGTAGGTAGTGTTAATATATATTCATTGAATGATCGCTGATGAATGATTCATTGATCGCTGATGCCATCGTTCCGACACCATATATATTTCCAGTCGTCATACACTACACTATAGCTTGATTGGAGGAATTCATATCGCTACAAATCTTTGTTATAGACAGGATGAGATGAGAGTGTTACCTGGACGTTAATTCCTAAGCATTTATCTCGATACGAATGTTTCGTGCAGACAGGAGGAGAGGAGAATGTTACCTGGACGTTAATTCCTAATCATTTATCTCGATACGAATGTTTCGTGCAGACAGGAGGAGAGGAGAATGTTACCTGGACGTGTTGGGTCTGCAAGGCAGTCGTGGCGTGTGCAGAGAGGCCCTCGGTGAGCCCGTCACTCAGTCCACCTGCTGCTGCTCTATAGGCAAGGCCTGGGGCCCGCTCTGTGAGCAGTGCCCGCCTAGAGAATCAGAAGCCTTCCGGCAGCTCTGTCCTGGGGGGCCTGGCTTCCGTCCCAACACTCTAACGGTGAGTGAAATAATATTGAGATACACATATTATTTCATAACCTGGAATTTCTGGAGTTTTCTTTGTTATTGTAATTGTTCCACAATTTGGCAAATGTTCTGCAATTATTCCATATTTTGTGCTTTTAAAGTCCTACCAGGTCTTAGACATTTACTGTTCCATGTTAAAATCTAGGTATTTCCTTTACATTCGTATTCCAAGCATACCCTACCATGTTTTGGGTATTCGATGGCACAATCATACCGTGACGGTTGCAGGTTATCCTGGAAGACATCGACGAGTGTGTGGAGATGGAAAACCTATGCGAAAACGGCCGCTGTTCTAACACATTTGGTTCCTTCATCTGCTCGTGCAACATTGGCTACCGCATCGACGCGTCAGGCTCGATCTGTAACGGTGAGTGCATAAATGAATGCCACTAGACGATGAAACGCTACCGCTTGTTTGTCACTCTTGAATTTCACTCATGCTTTGAAACTTTAATGAATGCTTAAAATCAAGTGGAGAGTGCGTTCCACAATAAGATATTTTTCGTGAATCAAAGGATGCGTGAATGAATACCGGAATGTTTTGCCCATTGAAGATAGAATCTCCCTTCGCGCTGGCGTCACCTCATGACATCCTGCTGACAAGTGTTATTAAGAATACAATTTGTTGTCGGTAAATAATATTCCTTATGTCTCTGCTGACATCAAGAATAATTTTGTTTTTTATTTAACAACAATTAGTTTATTGTTCAGTTATATTATTCAGCTCTCTACAGAAATCAACAATAAACACATTGTTGTTTTATAATGCACCTCATGTTTCTGCAGACATCAACGAGTGCGCGGACGGTAACCGCTGCAAGAACGGTCTGTGCATCAACTCCATCGGGAGCTACCGGTGCCAGTGCCCTGAGGGCTTCATGCTCCTTGCCAGTCGTGCCGAGTGCATCGACACGCGCGAGGGTCCTTGCTACATGACGTACGAGGACGGCGTTTGCTCCATGGCCATGAGGACGGACATCACGCGCTTCAAATGCTGCTGCTCCATGGGAGCGGCCTGGGGTGCTGCCTGTGAGGCGTGCCCACAAAAGAATTCTCGTAAGTTGAACTAGTCTGTTCTTCACAATTATTATTGTTACTATTATCTATTATCATATTAAAGAAGATTTATTGTAATTTAGCACTCGACGGAGAATTGGAACAAATTTATTTGTATCATTGTATTAGTTTAATTGTTCCAAGTTTCAGCGTAATTTTATCATATGCTAACAAACATCTGTAACTTGCAACAGGGGAATATTACGAGCTTTGCCGTTCTGGAGTGAACGGCGGTGCTGGAGGTCCAGACCGCTACCCTCTCAACCCTGATGGCTGGCCGATTGGACCTGATGGAAGACCTCTGCCCGTGGGGCCGGATGGTTTGCCAATAGGACCCGACGGCAGACCAGTGGGACCAGATGGCAGACCTCTGGGTCCTGGAGGAATTCCACTGGGACCTGGAGGAGTACCGCTCGCTCCAGATGGTCGGCCTTACCCCATCGGCCCTGATGGTCGTCCCATAGGTCCCGATGGCAGACCTTTACCCATTGGTCCTGATGGTAGACCAATACTTCCCCCTGGTCATGTAGGCCCAGGATCCTCTTATGGACCTGGTCTGCCCGCATACATTCCATCTAATGGCACGGACACTGACTTAGGATCCAGTCTTCTCATAGATCCTGTGACAGGCCAGCCCATTGAAATAGACGAATGCGAGTTGATGGGACACATGATGTGCAAGAACGGGCGATGCATCAATACGATGGGCTCATTCAAATGTGAATGTAACCGAGGATTCCGATATGATGATCCTACGCACATGTGTGTTGGTAAGTCGTATTTTCTTCCGTATAAATTTTCGTAATGATTGATTATATCTGTGACTTGATTCGATGTTAGATGCTTTATCACGAGTTCAAATTACGATGTTAAATGATAAGCTGCTACGTTTATTCTTATTTTAACTTAGTGCAGATCTATATTGTTATTATCCGCAGATATCAATGAATGTGCCGAGCTCAACCCTTGTAACGGAATCGCCAATTGCGACAACACAATTGGCAGCTACAGCTGCTCCTGTCCTATTGGCTACCAGCTCAACAGACTTACCAACGACTGCATAGGTGATCATAAATTAATACTGGTAACTCTTTATTGTAGCATAGAGTTGAACTTCTCAAGTCCCAACACTCATATATGTGGTTTTAGACGCATCCGGAGCTTCGACTGGACTAGTGTTCTTCTTTCCACAGATATTGACGAATGCCAGAGACCAGGCGTGTGCCAACACGGCGTTTGCAACAATTTCCAGGGCTCGTTCCAGTGCATCTGCGACACAGGTTTTGTGCTCACGGCTGACCATTACTCCTGCATCGACGTGGACGAGTGTCAGCGCTCGCCTACGATCTGCAATAACGGGACCTGCATCAACACGATGGGTTCCTTCAAGTGCGAGTGCTTCAAGGGCTTCAAGATCGGCTCCAACGGCGAATGTGTCGGTTCGTCTTTCCAAACTTTACGCTCTAAAATCTAAATAGAAGTACATAAATTAATCGAGGTTGCCAGTCCTACGTTGGGGATATTACGGAAGTGATATTATTTATTCCAGTATTAGTCATCATAGAGCCACCATGACGCTGTCATGCAGAACCGCATGGATTCTTGCATCTGCGCTTATGTCGCTGTTTTCTATATTATATTCAGTTTTCGCGAATAATTGCGTAACGCATCATGATTCTGGATTTAGGCTATTTTTAGACTCGCCAAGAAAGCTATAAAAAAGTTATAAAACTTATAACAGCGCTCGTCCAATTTATCTGTCAAAATTGTCAGAGATTAAAAGGAAAATGACCAATGTCAAAGACTCAAAACACTGACTAACTTGAAAATGGTTGCGAATGTTAATTTCCAATATATGACTTAAGGTGCATGAAGATGACGACCATTGTAAAACAGAGATTAAATAGTGGTCATTAGAAGATTAGTCTTATTAGATAGTACATTTAATAAGACTCATCTTCTAGATATCAACGAATAATTGAATAGTGGTTTCCACGGAATTAGTATAATTGAGTGGTGGACTTATTAAGACTTAGCTTTCTAGACATTATCGAAAGATTTTACTATGGTGAGAATAAGTCTAGTTGACAAAAAATTTAAAATCAAAAGAAACGACACGTTATTTCAACATATTCGCAATGACAAGTTTTCATTGATAATATTATGAATTTACTGGGAGTATTCTTTGCTGTTGAATTCTTGGTGAACTTACGATATAAGCAGAACAAAGACACAAAAACTCATATACAAAGTCTCGCCTAATATTATATTTATTTAGACTTATTTCTGCAGACATCAACGAGTGCCAAATCATGCTGGAGCTGTGCCGCAACGGCCGCTGTCGCAACAGAGAAGGTTCCTTCACATGCGAGTGTGCTGAGGGCTACACGGTCACCTCTGACGGCGAGAGCTGCAGGGATGTCAACGAGTGCAGCGAGGTGCGACAGTGTCTACTTTTAGGAGGCTGTATATTATTTTATGAGACTATATTCTTTTCGGAGACTGTATATTCTCTTATGGGTCGGTTTATTCTCTCTAGGACTGTAAATTCTCTTATGGAGTTGTATTTTCTCTTATGAAATTGTATATTCTCTTATGAAATTGTATATTCTCTTATGAGGGTAACGAGTTGCTTATGTGAGGAAATCTTCGGCTTCTGGAGTTAATTCAACGTCAGTCACAAACATTTTCAGATGTCTTTAAAGTTGCTTACGGAATTAAGATTACGGAGAACTTCTTGAAATGGTTAACTTTATAATCAATTCCAACGTCTCCGATGTTGAACTTGCGTTCAAAGAAGATTGATTAATTATCGACGTACAGCATTGCCAATGCTTCTCTTACATAAGGCTGAGTTCATTAAATGTTAGAGTTCAATGTATTTATCTATGTAAAGAGGTTAGTGAAATTGACAGAATTTATGTAATTTTTTCAATGCTTGTCAGGATTCTAGCACCTGTCCGCCTCCCGGGCGCTGTCAGAACCTCATGGGTTCTTACATCTGCGACTGTCCTGATGGTTTCCAGCTTTCACCTAATGGAAAATTCTGTACAGGTCGGTTGCTAATTTTAATAAACATGAAATATTGCTTCAATTTACATTTCCGTATTGTACCAACGTTCAGTATAATCTCAGTATCATTTTTATCATCTCAAAAAATGTTGAAGTTTTTTTCAGTAGGTCGTTGTTGAAAAGATCGAAAGAAAGATTTTGATGGTCGACTTCGTGTCAACAAAGTGTGAAAATATCAGTCTGTGATAATTAGATAATTTATTTATTTATTTATTATAATCCCCGAATTTGCATTAAAACATCGCATATGCCGCTTGTTGCGAGAGTGCATTTCATTCCACATTATTGTTGAGTCATGACAACATGATGACAACATGATGACAACATGATAACAACTTGATGACAACATGATGACAACATGATAACAACATGATGACGTGATGACAACATGTTGACGTGATGACAACATGATGACAACATGATGACAACATGACGACAACATGATAACAACATGATGACGACATGATAACAACATGATGACAACATGATAACAACATGATGACAACATAACAACAGCATGACGACAACACGATGACAAAATGATGACAACATGACGACAACACGATGACTAAATGATGACAACATGATGACGACATGACAACTCCATGATGACAACATGACGGCATGCTGCTCTAGTATTAACGTGTTGTGCCGTTCACGCTGCAGACATCAACGAGTGCGAGACCGTAGAGGGCATCTGTGAGAACGGCCGCTGTGCCAACAATGAGGGAGGCTTCAGCTGCGACTGCCCGCCAGGCTTTGAGATCAGCGGCGAGGGCATCAAATGCGAGGACAAGAGACAAGAAGTTTGCTTCCAGCGCTTTGTTAGAGGTTACCTCATGAGAATTTGTTGTGATCAAATCTTGTACGATGGATTGGTTATAGTATGTGAAGTTTTATTTAGAGAATATGTGCTTTATGTATGATTTGAATTAATTTAATTCGTTTATATGAATTAATAGAATATAAATTTTTTGGTTATTAGCATCGCTTCGAAGAAAGTCTGAAAGTTATGACAACAATTTATATATTACATTCCTTAGTATCAAGGAATAACGAACTCTTCAAGTCACTTGCAAGTTCAAGCGCGAATTTTCTAGCAAAGTTACGGCAAGATCTTTTGACAAACGTAATGCGCTTGTAAATAAACGCCTAAAGTTACTGAAGTAATTACGGAAAAACCTATATCAATAATATTTATATTTTGATAGGCTCACTCACTTATCATGTAAGTGAGTGATACTATCGTTACTAGATACCATTTAGTAATGTAATCAGGGATAGTATCATAAATATTTGCGAGTTCGCAAATCCGTCAGCCAATCATCAATCGCTTTTCAAGCTAAACTCGCCAATCACAGACGAGAAATTGACCGTATGTAGGTTGTTAACTTCGGTTCAGCGAATTTTGACAGTACCGCCACAGATCTTAATTACTGATATTGTAGCACACTAGCTTGCTAAAAATAGTTTATGGGGCGTAAGAAGTCTTTGTATGTGGTAGACGACGAAGGCGGCGTATCAGCATCAACGTTTACGACGACGTCCTAAACTAGTCATAAGGTGTATCTCCACCAGGTCGCTGTCTCGAGCCTCGTCCTGTGAACATCCTGAGGAAGCAGTGCTGCTGCTCGGGCGGCGCTGCCTGGGGCCGAGCCTGCCAGATATGTCCACAAGTTGGCTCCCGTGAGTTGCTCACACACGCGCCAGAACTGAAATAATGCTTATTGTGCTGAAGAAATGGAGAATAAACTAGTGTAGTTTATTCAAAATTACAATAATCTTGGACATAGTGCAACGCGCGATGACTACTTTTGGTCGAGATTGCGAACGTTCTTCAAAAATACCTAACGCGTTTTTTAACGTTACTCAAGAGTTTCGTGTTTTTCCATGTCCACGTTATTGGCGGGAATGAGTTTTATGAGGTCGGGAAGGTAAAGAGAATTTTGTAAAAGATAACTTTTTATACAATATTATTAGTAGTATTTTTTGCTTCTCTCTAGATGGTAATATATACTGATAAAAATTGATGAGATGATCAATCAGTTGAATTTCTCGAGATTCATGATGTCTATAATAGGTTCATTAAGTTGCTTGTCATTTGTGGAAACTGTATATCCTCGACAAATTTCAATCACACACTGAAAAACGCCTCGGCAAAAAAACTGTGATTGTTTTCTAACTTTCCTGCAGCTGAGTCAATGGTTCATACTGTGAATCTACGTATAAATTTCATTCACCCACTAAACAATGCATCTTCAAAAAGACAATAACTCTCTTCTTAGATGCAGGTCAGTCATTTCTGGACACCGCACACAACCGACGGAATTTTATTCGCAAACTAAATAACAAACAACGCCACAAAAATATAATAATTGTTTCTTATGCTTGCAGCTGAGTTCAACCGGCTATGTCCATCCGGTCCGGGTCGAGGAGAGTCCGGCACAGACCTGAACGAGTGCGTGATCATGCCGGGCGCGTGCCAGGGTGGAGAGTGCGTCAACACGGACGGCTCCTTCAGATGCGAGTGTGCTGACGGTTACGTGCTGGACGTGACTGGCCGGCGCTGCGTGGGTGAGTAATGTATTATCTTACGGCAATTATAATATTAGTTCTTGATAATAACTACGATGTATGAGAGAGCTGAGTTCTTTAATAACTAGATAATTACTAGCATGTTATTCGCTAGCCTAGTTCTTCATATTAACTGAATTTAATGCGAGAGCATAGTTCATAGTTCATCTTAGTATTGATTACAATGTAATATATAAGCCAATCATTGGTTAAGAAATCCATGTCATTTTAGCCATTGTATGCACTTTGTATTTGGCTGTTCAAACTCTGGACGTAGCTACTACTGACGCAGTCGGTTGATTTAAAAAGCCAGGGGAAATATTCTTTTCTGAATGCGCATATTTTATCGTAAAATTTAGCTAATCTGAGGTATTCACAGGCAGGCAATTTCAAAAAATAATAATCGAAAGAAAAGAATAATTTCTCATCATTAAAATGTAACTTGAACCTTCCCAGATGACAACGAATGCGCTAGAAGCAACATCTGCGGCAACGGAACTTGCACGAATGTGGAGGGCGGCTTTGAGTGCAACTGCCAAGACGGTTACGCACCCGGAGCCATGCAGGTGAATTTTTGGCTTTATAAAATTGAGAATGATAGAAATAGTTGTCCGTTGGTAAATAAAGAATCTTGTATGACTTGTCCTTTTTTATTTGGTGAGCATTCATCGTTTCATCTGTGACCTAAAATGATATTTGAAAGCTTCGTCTTGCACAATCATACTTGCTGCCATTCTTGCACTGGTGGTTTGGTAGCGCTTGGTTAGGTGTGGGTAGACAAACGCAAAGTCAGTTATATCTTTTTCTCTTCACACGTAGTTATGTTCCTGTCGTACAGTATCTCTCAGTTATACCAGACGCGCAGTCATGTCCTTGCTTCATTACTAAGCGCCGCTGTATTGATGTGAGCAGACCTGCGAGGACGTTGACGAGTGTAAGGAAGTGGCTCATCAGTGCGCCTTCAGGTGCCACAATGTGGACGGCAGCTTCCGCTGCATCTGCCCTTACGGCTACACGCTGGGAGCTGATGGCCGACACTGTCAGGATGTGGACGAGTGTCTCACGCCTGCCAATAACTGCAAGTTCCAGTGCAAGAATCTCATCGGGAGCTTCATGTGTATCTGTCCTGAAGGTTATCAGCAGGTGTGTTTGTGCTGTTTTAGTGATGAAATGCAGGACTTTGATAATTTGACTTCATGAAGTACATCAAATTTTTATACGTATCAAGAATTTTTCTATACGTAAGTATTAAAAATTATGTATATATAGAGAATCTAGATTCTTGTAGACTTAATGCAATTGAGGTTACTCTTCTTTTAAGTATAACTTTCTGAAGCTCTCGCAAATCCGATATTCTCCTTCAGATCGGCATGACGGACAACTGCCAAGATGTGAACGAGTGCGCCATTAACCCAAATATCTGCAAGAATGGTCATTGTCAGAACACACGAGGCTCGTATCAGTGCGAGTGTCATGAAGGCTTCGCTCCCAGCCAAGACGGCAAACAATGTCTTGATAAGAGAAAAGGTTACTGCTTCAGGCAGCTCGGAGGAGGAACCTGCTCGTCTAACACACACGACCTCGTTCAGGTGATTGCGTTTCTCAATATTCGAGCTTGCAAATAGATGGTTTGGAATCAGGCGTTTATAGTACAAGGTACGGCCAGGTACCCAACAGGGGACGAGTTTGTTCAGTGTATTATGAGGTGACACTGAATATTCTGAGATATGTAAACTCTACGAATATATGTTACAATAATCCTTGGATCTGCAGGTCACCAAAGCGGACTGCTGTTGCACGATGGGTCTGGCTTGGGGTCCGCAGTGTGAACGCTGCCCGCGCAAGAATACGCCTGAATACGATGAAATCTGCCTCGAGGCTGGTTTCTCTTCCAATGGATTGGACATCGACGAGTGTGAGATGATGCCAAACTTGTGCAGAAATGGCCGTTGCATCAACACCATGGGTTCGTACCGCTGTATATGCGACAAAGGGTACAAGCCTGACCACTCCGGTACGCGTTGCTTGGACGTGAACGAGTGCGAGGCCGCCAATTCGCCATGTCGCTTCACCTGCCAGAACACTGAAGGATCTTTCAGATGCTCGTGTCCTCGAGGCTACACGCTCAACCCTGACAACATTACGTGCCGAGACCTGGACGAGTGTCAGACTGGACAACATGCTTGTCAGGATCAGTGCGTTAACACTCAAGGGTCGTACAAGTGTACATGCGATGTCGGATACACTGAAGTCGCAGAGAAGTGCATCGGTAAGTAAGGGAGTTACTTACTTAATTTACAAACTGTAATGTTACAAGTGAAGTCAAAATTACAATTCTACAAGTTTTTGTCCGTATTTCACAAAGTTTTAGACCTGAAGCCTCCCTTGGGTACCTTACAATCTTGTTACCGACACGTCAATATTTTACCTGGTTCTCGGCGTCGTACGTGGCAATAGCTTTTACTTCTACTAATGTTCAGTGAAAAATAATCTACAACCTTCTCAGCAACGTCAGGCTAACCTGCCAACAGGTTGATAGAAAATCTATACAAAATGATTGTATTGAAAGTTTGAGGCTTTGATGAAAGCATGTTAGATACGTTTTGAAAAAATGTAATATAATATTGCCTCGCATCTCGCAATTTGCAATCGGTGTCTCTAAAGAAGAAAATCTTATAAAACAACCAAGCAACACCGAATTAACTCAACATTGCTGTATGAATATGCAGTTCTATATTACTGCTGAAATGTATCACGGTATTAATGATGATGTTGCAGATGTTAATGAGTGTTCGGAGCAGCGTGGTTTGTGTGCACCAGTGGGCACCTGCATCAACACCATCGGCAGCTTCAAGTGCTTGTGTCCCAGAGGATTCCAGCCTGACAAAACAGGCACGACTTGCGTCGACGCTGATGAATGCCTCACCGATGATTCCTGTGACATTGGATGCGAGGTTAACATACTTAGGAGTTAGCTGTTATAGAACAGAGAATCTGTTGAGAAATTAGTAGATAACCGTTTTTATGAGCAAACAAGTTAATCTAATGCCTCACCGATGATTCCTGTGACATTGGATGCGAGGTCAGCATACTTTGGAGTTAGCTGTTATAGGACGGAGAAGCTGTTGATAAATTAGTAGATAACCGTTTTTATGAGCAAACAAGTTAATCTAATGCCTCTCCGATGATTCCTGTGACATTGGATGCGAGGTTAGCATACTTTGGATTTACCTGTTCCAGAACAGAGATCTGTTGAGAAATTAGTAAATAACCTGTTCTCTTGGCAAACACTGTGATCAAATTAGACCGTGAACATGTAGGTATCGAACTTTGCGATATATATTTCCTTATCACTCTCTAATGCAGTTATTCATGTTTTTGTATAGTTTATACTGACATAGTTTTTTTTAAAGAACCTGGACGGTGGTTATCGCTGCGGTTGCCCTGATGGATACAAGCAACACTCGTTCTACAACCAGTGCGTGGATGAGAACGAATGTGCCATCAGTCCGTGCGGCTCGGCTGACTGTGAGAATGTCTTGGGATCTTTTAAATGCGTTTGCCCCAACGGATATTCATTCAATATGAATCTTGCTGTATGCATTCAAGTGAGTAAATAGAAGTTCTCAATATTACTTAAAGAAGTGTATTTCCGTGTCGTTTTAATCTAAATTCTACGATTATGTATCGAAATTTGTCTCTTAGTGGTCTGTTAAAGGAGTGAAAAGCGTATGCTTGTGTAATATATCATAAAAGTAAATCATCATGATGTACTTTTAAAGTTTATTTAGCCTTCGTTTATTTAAGGCTACCTTATCGTACATCCTATATACGTTTGCTTAATAACCCCTTTATTGCTGGAATAACCTGCTCAATAAAACATTTAGTGCTGGAATAACCTGCTCAATAACACATTTACTGTTGCAATAACCTAATTTTCGTTGGTATTGTGCAGGTTGGGGGCAATTGTGCCGCGAGTCCGTGCACGTTCGGCTGCAACTCCCTGGGTGACGACACCATTGCGTGTGGGTGTCCTGCAGGCTTCAACAGGATTGGTTCCGTGAGTGTCACTGTTGCTACCTTACAACCTGACATATATTAGGCACTGCGATCCCGTCATTCTTGTCTAACTGGATTACGGTGTTTTGAATACCGTCATTCATAGTGTCCCAATTATTATTAAAAATGAAGATTACCGGTATTTATGCTAATTAAAAAAAAGGACCCGCTCAAATCTACATTTTTACATGGAACATCAAATTTCATTTCGACTGCCGTTTGAAATGGTGGAAAATATTTTTTGGGATTATTAAACTAGAGTTAAAAATACCAATTTATAGATCAAAAGTAAATTTTAATCTAATCCTTTCTTTCCACTTATGCCAAGCCATACTATTATCACACTAAGAATAAATTATCAGGTTTTGTTAATATCCCGACAAGATAAATATCCTGGATACGCGCCCTATCAGACCTTCTGAATTTACGGCGCCAGGTTTCAAACACACACATAAATTTGGCAAGCATTTATAAAATTAATAATATCTTGAGAGCGTAAGTTGGTCCTGAGAAGGAGCCGTACTATATGAATAGTTAAGATTTTGTAATTCTTTCAGCCAAGCATTGACTTCTGTTTACTTAACCCAGAAATCGTGAACTATAAATGGGCCGTTACATGTGCTTACGGCTGCTAGGTGTTCCTAAGCGAGGTTCGTTGCTAGGTGTTCCTAAGCTTGATCGGTAAGACCATAAGTAGTAAATGATGAATATATGAGTGCGTTGTTATGTTGCAGGGACACTGCATGTCAACGCTCAATCCGCCCGTCACAAACGGACTTGGCAACCGTGGTTTCGGTGGTTTTGGTGACGCACTTGCTGGTGGTCGAGGAGGCATCGGTGGTGGAATTGGTGGCGTTGGTGTAGGTTATGGTGGTGTCGGTGGAGCACCTGGCCAGGGTGGAGTTGGAGATTCTGGTGCAGGCTTTTCTGGAGGCTTTGGGACTGGTCATGGCAGGGAGTACGGTGGAGTAAACAGTGGTTATGGAGGCGGTGGAAGATTCGTGACAGGTGGAGGCTACGGATATAATGGAGTGGACGGAGGATACGGAGGCCCTAATGGAGGTTCTATTAACGGTGGAGGGCGATATGGTGGAGGGGATTACGGTGGGGGAGGCCGTGGACCTGGAGGTGGAGGCTCATTTGATCTCGGAGGAGGTGTGACTGCGTATCCTATCGGACAAGACCCTAATACCTATAACGAGAACATCATCTCGACGGAAGGATGCTTCACTTGCAAGGTATTAATCCTAACGCTCAATATATCAGGGTGTTATGAGGCTAGGCAGGGATCTCGATTTAAAAATAGATGGTAGTGCAAGGAATAATTTTATTGTTTATCAGAACATCATAAAACTTTTTAGTTGGTTTAAATCTTCGTGTGTATCTCACTTCTTCGTGTGTATCTGCTGAAAAAATAAAACACAAGTATTCGATTTTTCATATTTTTTTATATTTTAGCGTAAAAATTGTATCAAGATGAATAACGGCATTATGAAAATTTAAACTCGGGTACACTTAAGCCAAGTTTGACGAGATTTGTGTGCAGTTTAACGGTCAGAACGCGCGCACGAAGCGGTCGCTGGACTCGATGATGCATCATTTGGTTGCCAGTCGCGTCCTGCGGCCTCAGATCCTCGAGCCTGCGCACCTCAACGCCAGCGACAGCGACGTCGTGCTGGTCCATGCGGGCAACCACACGCACAGGGTGAGGCGTGGTGACTAGTGGTGACTTGGTGAGTGGTGACTTGGTGGTGAATGGTGACTAGTGGTGACTTAGTGATGAGTGGTGCATTGCTGACGAGTGGTGCATTGGTGACGAGTGGTGCATTGGTGACGAGTGGTGCATTGGTGACGAGTGGTGCATTGGTGACGAGTGGTGCATTGGTGACGAGTGGTCCATTGGTGACGAGTGGTGCATTGGTGACGAGTGGTAAATTGGTGACGAGTGGTAAATTGGTGATGAGTGGTGACTTGTCGATGCTCGAAATAGTACCACAAATAGTCGTAATATAAATAAATTACTTGTAGTAGTGAAGTTTATTCGTTGTACTCCGTGCAGATAACAAAGAGAAGCTTGGAGGAGGAACTTCAGCATCAGGAGCTTATGGCCAAGAAGAGAGCTCAGGAGCCCTTGGTGCTCGTCGTCAACCTGAAGAATACTTTACACAGGACGCGCCTGCTCAAGTTGCGTCCTGCCATATCTTTCCTGCAGGTGAGGTATAAAGAGTACTAGAGAGTGAAAGAGCTTTTCATCACTTGTTACACGTAATTTTCCTTAAATTTTATTATGATCATCAAGCCCATTCTATCAGCTCACTACATCACCACCATTCGACTTCTCGAGATCCCAAGCGCACCGAATAAAAAAATATATTTATGCAAACCAATCGACTTATTGCTAAAACCAATCGGCTCTAATAGCTAAAATCTTCTCTGCTCAGCGTTCAAGAAACTAAATCTCATGCACATCCGTTATCCGACTCCGCGACCGTACACTATGCTGCGACTGATGAAGCTCTATACGCTTTTGACCTAAGCATGCAAAATAACTTAGCGGTGTAAGCCTATAATCAATTGTTATAAATAACAATTCAAATTCGGGTAAAAACGTCAATTCCAGTTACGCGAATGCTACGAAGACGGCGGCTACACGAGTCGAAAATTAATTTGCGAAATTTTCAAAATGATGACATGACGTAACGAACGTGGACGAGATATAAATTACTCGCTTACAAAGCGAACGAAATCCTTTTGGCGCGCCAAAAATTTAGTTCATGCTAGTGTTGAAAATGTGTCGAAGTAAATTCGATAAACTGAAAAGAATTATTCGATATTATGCTGTTCTATTTTTCCAGGATAACGTGAAGTATGACATCGTGAAGGGCAACGAAGAGAAGGTATTCGCGACGAGCCAAGACAAAGGCGTTACGTCGCTCTACTTCCAGCGACGGCTGGCAAAGGCGGGGGCCTTTGACCTCGAGATCGTGGGCCGCCCTCTGGACTACTCTAAACTGGACGTACTTCCCAAAGACATCGACGAACTCAATATCTACCTTCGCATCATTGTCTTACCTTAGTACTTAAGACAAGCCCGCTTGATGCTCACAATAAGCTTCGGACGAAAATCGTACTTATTTTGTTGTATATATACGACATTTTTTCCCCAGTTCAGAAATTTCACAACGCAATATGGCATATATGAAGGAATTTTGGTGCATGCACTCAATGGAACGTCGATGCGCACTTTTGGCTGATGCGGCAGAGATGTTGAGTGACCGGGGCCTTGAAATAGCGACATCTATGACGTAACCAGGGCTTTTTGGCTCATGAACTATACTCATGAGTATATTTAAAGAGGATGGAAGGATAATTTAAACCATATTTCAACACGTCGCGTAATTATAGGCAACTTGTCAGGAGGTAAACTGGCTAGACCAGTATTAAGTGATGAAATGTTTTGTTACTGTAGTTTAGCGAATTTCATCACTGGTTAACCGGAACTCAAAAATCAATTTTTGTACGAGCGATTTAAGAGGCGTGAACGTCACAACTGCAGAAGCTCTCCTAACTCAAGCGTGTTGGACTTACTGTACGCAACAGCACATTAATCCCAACGTTGAAATATTGCGAGGAATCTATACTTCAAAGGGGAAAGTAGCAATGCTAGTGATTGTTACGAAAGGTAGTTCATATTTGTGCCACTCAATGAACTGCAGGCTTTAAAGGGTCGATTGTGTTATGTGAGATCGAATTTTGTGAGTTAGGATGTATGGTTCATTAATCGGTTCTTCTGGTTCAGCATTCAGTTTTCTATCGTCATCTTGTGTGCGTGTCGAGCGCTTGAAGTGCAGCTCCTGCTGTATTGATCTCAAGAAAGATCTTCTCCTTCTTCGTTAAATGAGAAGAGAAAGTGAAGAGAATTTAACTTAAGTAGATCACATAGGTATTAAATGATCCTTCCATGATGATGACATTCATAACTGCCAATGAAGATACTCATTCACTGTTAAATGTTAGGGATTTTCAAAGCGTGGAACATTAAATGGATGAGATGAAAGTCGACATTTGTTCCTCCTGTTCACCATAGCATAAAGATCCTGTGCAGAAACACGAACTTGTAAAAACGTACGAATTTTTCAGGCGCCTACGTCGCTGCTAAGTAAAATTTCGTGTATTAGATTCTAAGTTAGTAATACGCGCTGGGAGGGTGAAATATTGCTATAGAGATACGATGAAAGGTGGCCACTACGGATGCACCAAACCTAACTTAAGAAGCAAAAAAAAATTGTGCAGTGCTTGTTGGCTCGTTGAGTGCGTTAGCTAATCATACTACGTAGAGGGCGTGGGGAAAAGCGAAGCTTGTTTTTGGTATAAATGTAAATCAATTTTGAAGGTTGCGTAAGATCTTCGTTTCTGTCCTCACAAGCATTCCTTGCGTTCTATTACCTTTTTTGTTATCTCAGTTGTTATATAACTTCGGAATGTGAAGCTACAATAGATGACTTTAATGATTACTATAGGTATGGTTTTCTTGTTCAGAATTCACTTCTGAACAGAGATACTCAGTTAACTAGACGTTTTCTTCAATCTGATATCACGTTCCCGAAGGATGTTTTTAAGTGTAACGCCTCCACCGCTGCATTTCTCTGTTGCTTTGTTTGAACACTTTTGGAAAAAGTAGCAAAAGGAGTGAAAATAACGTTTAAACTCAACGTATTGCACTGTGGATTTGCTTCACGAAGTGTTTAGGCTTATAAAATTAGTTATGTCTTCTTTTGCATACGTTTAAGATTACTCAAGATTCGCACAAAATGAAATGAATTAAACTCCTTTGGAAATGTGGGGCGTTCGACGCTGCTTTCTGGAGAAGCAACTGAATGTTTTTAGTGAATTGATGAGAAATTGTGTACGACGAGAACGACTTCAGATTAAATTTCAAATTCAGATTTCAGCTTCGTATTTTTTACAAAAGCAACAGTTTATATTGTAACTAAAATTCATCTCAGTACAATCTTCCTGCTTTGTTCAGGTTTAATTGTAGACTCGATACATTGGTGCGTAGTTCTCATTTCCACAAGTGTCATTTTTAACGGATAGATGCAGAGCAGAACAATTTATCTTCAATCTTACAACTATTTTGGGTTCATGGTTGTTCTCTTTAACGCGAGGAAAAAATAAGTGTCATTCAAGATTAAAGTTTGTGTAAATCTCCCAATCTCCCTGTAATTTTTCTTGACACGTTTCAACTTCAACTTATTTTAACTTGCATTAGGCGCTCTGAGAGAAGCATTTTGTTCGGAGCATAAACTGCGCTTCATTGTACATTTGCGTGGTCCTTTGGTCAGATCTATTCATGTCAGCTCAAAGAATAGTCCGGAATAGTGAGACAAAAAGCCCTTATTTCCATCCTGTTTACATCCGTTAATTTTCAGATGTTCTCATAAGGATTTCAAAAATTAATTTTTATTGAAACTCAATCGTTTTATTTTGCTTGCCTCCAAGCAGAATATGAACTTTTCTTGGAAAAATCAGACTTCCAGAATTTTTTGTAATTACCTTCAGTAAATGAGAAATTTATGATAAAGGGGAATGAAAAACAGCTGCTCGTACATAACGGTACTCAACCAGGCTCGTAATTTCGTCGTAATACTAACAACCATTCGGGTTATTTGGTAAATTTTAGTTCATGAACAGAAATTAGGTTTTGGATGATCATGTTTCTTATAATTAGCATGTGTTCGTTCACCTAGCGATTCAGAGCACGCATTACGAAATGTAAATAGCTTCTTTGAGTAAAAGTTTATGATATTTGCTATTTTTTCCTTCATACTCTAGAAAAAGATAAATCAATTTTTTATCTATCGGAACTCAGCCCGCTCCTACACATCGTGCATCATTTCAGAAAAGAGCAGAACAATTATTTCCGGAGAAGTAATGAATCACTTTAATTTTAAAAATCTAGAGATTACCATGTCATCGTTATTATAGTTTATTCGCTTTATTCTGAGTAACTTGTTAGAAGCATATTGGTTTCAACAGTGTTGTTCGATGCGGACTTCACCCCAGTTGAATAAGATTTCTAAATGACTTGTATTCCAAAGTTGAAAATGCCTTCGTCCTTCAACATACATTTTCTTCAATTAAATAAATTTAAATGGGTTCGAAACTGTCTTATTTCTATGGATCAACTCGTCATAAGAAACGTATTCGCTACCGGGTGTGATACTATGTTTTAAGGACAGTCAGCTATAAGCCCTCAGGGAGGTACAGGATGTGATTGAACGTCTAATTTCACCAACCAACAACATCATTAGTACAACAAAGAACACAGGAATTACTGTATGTTTTTCTCGGCAATTCCAACACATTCAGGCTACATTTTATTGAATAGGTCTGAATTTACTCAAATAAATAGAAACAATAAAAAATATTAGATGAATTATGAAGAGAGCTTGAGAACATTTTAGGAAAGTCTCAGTCCCTCGAAAATTGGCATAATGAAGCCTGATTGGAACCACTCAGCACAAAATGAATAAGTCTATAGGCAAAACGATAATTAATTCTAAAACATTACACAACGAAACTATGCTCAGATTAATGTGGCAAACAAACGACTATGGTCATTGACCTCAAACATACAATGATATTGGGCTGTAGAAGGCTACTATTTTTCTCGTCAGATTATATGTGTTCTTCCATGATTGTACCTCTATATGAAAACTGACCGATTATTTATTTGTGGGATACACTTTTTCATTACCTGCTGGGTTATTTCCATTCACGTTTCACATTCCAAGCCTTTGATTACTGCAGATGGACATATATGCTTTTCAACACATCAATTTACTTAATTACTTATAAGTTTGAATAATACAACTTCCGTGGAATCAACGCGTTCCAGGAAACTGGCCTGCTGAACAGTTTGTCGTATGCAGTGGCGAATATTAACATTTCTACCGAATGGCATATGAATTTATTTCAACATTGGCTTTAGAATGATCATGGTAGCAAATCCGGTCCTCTGATGTTGCAGTTGGAGTCTTTTTAGCCTTCGAGGATTTTTATGGCAAATCCGGTACTTTGTCGATCTGATGTGGCCCTTCCAGAGATCTCAAGTTTTGCCGGTGCAACTGGTGCGTAGAATGGGTGCAGTGACTGGAATAAACGGGTGCAGTGACTGGAATAGGGGTGCAGTGACTGGAATAGGGGTGCAGTGACTGGAATAAACGATACCCCATGTCATTCCAGTGCTCATTCAGCTCGGAGACGGCCATTTTAGAAAATTGATCTCTTGATATAAAATGCACTTTTCCACTACAAGGTGAAAAATTGTTATAATAAAAGAGAGGAATTGCAGTTTGCATCGATGCTATACACTGTCATTGATTCATTCTAAGTATATCAGCTGGTCAATTCAAATTTTTTTGTTATTTCCTTTACGTCACTATCGTGCAAAAAATTTGCAGTGGAAAGAGTCGCGTAGTGAGAGGATCCGATCTGGTCATCACACAGCCGCCGATGTCGGAGCATCCGGCATTGAAGTTAGTACGATTTCAACTTATCAGTTCATAAAATGAAAATTTTAGCCCTTATCATGGCAAGCGTCGAGAAAAATGCAATATTCTCAGATAAAGCTATTAATTTTAATTAATGTGCCGGCTCAATTTGTCGCATGCATGCGGTGAAGTGTTTCTTATTGGCCCAAACAGAATAGTAACTTGGGGATACATTTGGCTAAAAGTCTAAAAATTATTGATATCGTCTCCACCATCTTGATGCTTTAACAAAGATTTTTCACAGATTTATACTGTCGGACAAAATTATCTGGTCACAACTTAGGCCCGTATATGCTAAATAGGGCACTAGCACTACGAAGTAGCATATGCACTACGAAGTGTCCTGTTGGTATGCTAAATACGTCACAGACACTAAGCACTTCGAAGTAGCTCTACAATGTTTAGTGTCGCTTAGTGTCGCACTACTGATTCGTATGCAGAAAGACTTTGAAGTGCTACTTCGCTGTTAGAGTACTTTATAGTGCCGCACTACGCTATGAGTCGATTGAAGAATGGTAAAGTGCTCAAATAATTAATTATTTCCTGTGTAATTCTCATTCTTTGCAGAAGATTGATGTAAAATGTCTAATTGCGATGGTAATGGTACTAGTGAAAATTGTGATGGTGAGCTGAAATTCGCAATGCGTCTGCGCACCTTTCACATCATATATTCAAAGTCCACGCTTCCCAAAGACATCGAACAAAAGAGAGAAGCATGGAAAGTTCTTGCAAAAGAATTCAAAATGACTTCAGAAAAAAATTCCAAACTTGGTATCAAAAATAAGAAAAGTATTTTCTACTTCTACGCTGTTAATCTGTTTCGCCAAGGAAAATGTCAGCCATAAGAATAACATGTTGTTCACTGAAGCGGTACACTTTTTTATATTCATGGCATGCTGCTCCTGAGGTTTTTACGTGATGATGCCTTTGCTGTAAGCCAAACAGATCCATAGCTGAGGAAGTAAACAAGGTTAAATATACCGTAGTGTCGTCGTGAAGTGCGGTGTGTAGGACGCTTCAGATTTTTGTAGTGCGCGTTATGCTTTTGGCCCTATTTAGCATATCAACCGTAGTGTTCCATGCCGCACTATGGCTTGTAGTGCGTAGTGCTACTTCTATAGTGCTACTGCCCTATTTAGCATGCCAACCGTAGTGTTCCATGTGGCACTAGTATAGGCACTACGGCTTGTAGTGCGTAGTGCTACTTCGTAGTGCTAGTGCCCTATTTAGCATACGGGCCTTAGTAAGTTAAAATGTTATGTATCATTAAAAAAATATATAATTTATAATATATAATATATCTTTCCGTCTAAGAAATCGGTAACCAATGGGATTTAAATGTTAAACGGAAGTGCCATCAGTTAATAATACTTTATTTATAAATTAATTACTGTCAGTGGGACTAACGGGATTGTGTTATTTCAGGCATTATGCAACACGTTCATTCTTTAATATATTCCTCTAAAGTTATGTAAGTTACTCACTGATTTAAAGAGAACTACTCTTACCCATACTGGCCTCCACAGCAGCAGGCTCACAGGAGCTCTAGTGATGAATACCTCCTTCAGCGCTACCTTCAGCGCTACCTTCAGCGGCGCCTCCTTCAGCGGCTCCTTCAGTGCCTCCTTCAACTGCAGAATATTCACCCTACGTCATGTCATGCACTGTATCATCATTATACCTAATTAATGTTTGCCGGTACTCCGCTATTAGGAACAGTAAGCTCCGTTTAGCAGGGCCCGTATTTTTTTTAATTCAAGGTATAATTTTCGTTTCGTTTCTATAGCGATATTTTCCTTGTTGTCGTAATTCAATCTAATGCTAAACTTGTATAGTGACAAAAATTGAAACCTCAAAATTTTAAATTCTGCAAAATTTTACAAATAACGGACATCAACATAGATTTTTGAAAATTTAGCAATTTTCCTAAACATTTATGTGATCGATTTATATTATTATGTTTGAATATATTATTTCATTATGATTGACATTGATTTATGATGCTATTAAATCACACAAGTTGTTATATACTCAAACACGTTTGTTTCAGAGACAGCGGATTTCTTCCTGTATTGCCATGAACATTGAGAACAATCATTGATTGTTCTGTATGACGCTCTGTGTGACTTGTTCGGTGTGACTTGCTCTGTATAACTTACTCTGTGTAACTTGCTCTATGTAACTTGCTCTGTGTAACTTACTTTGTGTAACTTGCTCCATGAAACTTGCTCTGTTTTACTTGCTCTATGTAACTTGCTCTGTGTGACTTTCTTTGTGTAAGTTGCTCCATGAAACTTGCTCTGTGTAACTTGTTCTGTGTGACTTTCTTTGTGTAAGTTGCTCCGGAAAACTTGCTGTGTGACTTGCCGTGACTCTGTTAAAAAACCGTTGCGTAATCGTCAGATGTAGCATATTTATTCCTGGAAGCGCATCGGCAGGGTGCTGTAATAAGTTAACATAATTTTCATCGCTAATTTAACAGGAAACTTTTTAGAAGATGCACTCATTTATCTTTTTTAATGATTAGGCAAATATTTATTATCTGCTTTTACCAACCAAACTTGACAGCGCAACCAAGTTATGATAACATTTTAGAAAGCTGTACTGTCAATATTATATTTAATATTATTTAACAGTGCAATGAAGGCTTAGATTCTTAACATACAATCACAGAAGCAAATACTGCGTTTGTGAGAGCGAAACGAGTTCGCTTGTAATTTCTCATCTGCTAGCATTAAACCCAAAAAATTTCCCTCGAGCAGCAGCACATAAACAAACTAATTCTCGCCAATTTTGGAGTTGCAATTTTCCGCTCTGTATATGTTCAGGTCATATGATATATTTACGTGAAATCAATCCAATTATTCTATGAAAAAAAAAATTTGTGGGTACTAGGTAGTTCCTTAGGTTTACATCTAAGATAGAACTATACTTTTTCGCGGCAAGATTTTCAAGTTTGTTGTTTTTCCCCGAACGACCGCCGAAATCAAATAGGTAAACATTTAAATCTAGTGAACTACTATTAAATCTAGTGAAGTATGTAAATGGATTTAAGAAGAAAATTTCTCTATAGATTTAAGTTTTAGGAAAATTTGTTATTTAATGTTTTATGTACACGAGTTTTATATTTATTTAATCATGAAGAAGTTCAGAACTGTTATGAGCTTATGACTTTTAAATTTAAGCAGCTTAATAAGTTTAACTGCCTAACACAAACGGTAGTAATTTATAGCAAGTCTTCTTCTTATTACTTAA